CCTCTCCTTCCTTATGATATTCATCATCTCTGCTCCAGGGAATTTTCAGGTCTCTCAGTAAATAGATTCTTGAAAGAAGCTGATAATCTTAGCTTGACAGCCTGTAATAAGTTTACTGAGGGAAACAACAGTGAGTTCAGCAGCTATTTGAACTTAGAAATATGCCCCAAGGTTGAATTAGTTAGGCAGTTTACCATTAACCACCTGTATGTTGTATTATTTTTAGCTTGAAAGCAAAAAGCAGATGCATTAGAGACTCTCATAAACGTGCCTACAGAGTTTAGATGGGATTTTCAGCACATTTCTACAGACTTCGACTGTACAATCCTATTTCTAAAAATTAAGTTTATGACAAAGTCTTGATTTTGAATGTGAATTTCCAACTTTTTTGAGATAATGATGAACTGTAATGAGTTTCTTAGTTACTCTGTCTCCTGTACTCACTCACAACACCTCAAATTACTCAAACCCCAGTTATACAATTTCACACCAGGTCACAGAAAGACTGTGCAAGGTGTAGGCCAATCATAATGATGGATATTGCTCCAGCCATGCTGGGTCACACGAAAAAGATTTCTACCTCCCCACCATCTAGCAGACATTCCCTCAGCTGCACACAGCTCCAGAAGCACACCAGTCATAGTGGCTGGTAATCATGGAACTGCCGCTGCTTAGCATGAAGGTCTCGGAGAAGGACAGAGGCAGATGCCTGTCATGAATGAAATGCAGGTGTTAACACGGTAGAGACAACAAAGTAATTGTCATGCTCAAAGCTAAGATATAGCAGGCAACATTTTTTCCCTAAAAAGAGGGAAGTAGAAACATATTTCATAGAATCATAGAATGGTTTGGGTTGGAAGGGACTGTAAAGCTCATCCAGTTCTAATCCCCTGCCATGGGAAGGGACAACTTCCACTAGAGCAGGTTGCTTCAAGCCTCTTCCAACCTGGCCTTGAACACTGCCAGGGATGGGGCAGCCAGAGCTCCTCCAGGCATTCTGTGCCAGCACCTCACCACCCTCACAGGGAAGAATTCCTTCCTAATATGTAATCTAAATATACCCTCTTTCAGTTTAAAGCCATCATCCCTTGTCCTATCACTACATGCCCTTGCAAAAAATACATATAATCCAGGACAAAACTAGTCTTTTAAAAATGACCATTCTGCATCTTTTTGCCGTGTGTCCTCTGTAGAAATCTCTTAATCATATTCCATCAGACACAGATATTTTTGAATAATGAGTGAGATCATAAAAAATTATGAACTTGATTCAGTGCAGACACAAACAATTTAACAGGGATTTATGAAGGTCTCCTAACATACTTTGCATATGCCTGTGGTATATATACACCTTTTATATATATATATATACAAGGTTATACATAGGGTATGTATAAATATATATAAGTGACTGATATACACAAGATATATAGGTCACTCCAGTATCTGAGCTAACAAAAAGGATGTTAGGTAGAAGTTGGGTCAGCTGCCTTTCATTCAAAGCATCTTCTGCTTTCAGGTCATAATCAACATTCATTCTAATCATAGCAACTGTTATTTCTAATGGGTAGTCAATCTGCAGCAACCTTTCATCTTCGAATCCTCCTCAGTTTCCTCTCATCTTGTTGCATGCTGATCTTGTACAGTAAAGTTTCCAGGAATACATATCAGATACACTGTTACATAAAATGAACACCTGCTGACTTGGAGCTGAACCTAATAATGCATGTTAAAACACCAACCTTCTTTCAGAGGGCCAGTTCCTGCAGTTGTACTTTTCTCAATGGGACAGACCCTTAGATTTTGTTCATTGACAGTCATCAACAACTCCTAAAATAAAATGAAATCAAGAGTAAGAATCTTCAACAATAAAACATGTAGTAATACAATAGATACATCAAAGACAAAAGCAATACTACTATAGATGCCACATAACGGTTTTAAACTGTAGCCCAGCCAATTTTAAGTAACAGTAAACAAAGTACTTACGATATTTGCACAAAATTGTCTATGCTTTTGTCCTGGGTTCAGCAGTAGCAGTCATTTTTCTCTTTCTCAGTAGCTGGTGCAGTGCTGTGGTTTTGACTTTCAGCCTGGGAACAGCGCTGATAACACCAATGCTTTTAGTTGCTGCTCAGTAATGTTTACTCTGACCGAGGACTTTGTGAGCCTCATGTTCTGCCAGGGAGGATGGGAAGCCAGGCAGAAGCAGAGACAGGACCCCTGACCCAAACTGACCAAAGAGGTATTCCATACCACAGCACGTCATGCCCAGTATAGAAACTGGGGGCAGTTACCTGGAAGGACTAGGTCACTCCTCGGTTGGGCTGGGTATCAGTCGGCGGGTGGTGAGCGGTTGTATTCTCTTCCCTTGTTATTTCCTGTATCATTATCATTATTGGTGGCAGCAGCAGTGGTTTGTGTTATACCTTAGTTACTGGACTGTTCTTATCTCAACCCATGGGAGTTACATTCTTTCAGTTCTCCTCCCCATCCCTCTGGGAGCGGGGGGAGAAGAGGAGGGAGAGCAAACGGCTGCATGGTTTCTGGGTGACAAGCTGGGCTTAAACCATGACAGCTTTATAGCACAAAACTACACTGGGTTCTAAGTAACACACACACTAACAAAAAACTATAGCCTCAGCAAGAGAACATTGGCAGAGTAGTTGTTCTATTGTGGATCAGGAGTACAGGCTGCATACTGACCCCAAAGGGAGGTATGAGAGAGGAGAGGAGTAAAATTGTCAGAGGACCAGCCAATGTACTGTATTCCTCATTATGTGGATTCAGGGATGGGAAGCAGTCGGGTTCTGTTACAGCTGAAGTCAGGAAGGACTTTTACAAAGTACAGGTCCTCGTTTGACAAACAGAGGATGCTCAGCATTAAAACTCAGGGGTTCTACCAGCATAGCTGTTCCCAGAAAATGGCTGCTGTCTAGGAGGTGGTGAGCGATGCCTTGTCATCGCTTACTGTTTGTTGGGAGTTTTTGTTACTATTTTCTTTCTTTCTTTCAGTAATTAAACGGTCTCTATCTTGACCCACAAGTTTCTCTCTGTCCAACATGTAGCTGTGCCTGGGATTGCCCGGACCCAGGGGCACTTGGCTTGGTTGAACTCCATGAGGCTGGCATTGTCCACCTCTCAAGTGTGTCAAGGTCCCTCTGGATCCCATCCCTTCCCTCCAGTGTATCAACCAACCACACATCTTAGTGTCATGTTGGTGGCAAACTTGCTGAGGGTGCTGGATCCCACTGTCCATGTGATTAACAAAGATTTTAAACCGATTACTAGATGATAATAGCAGAGGTCCCCTCCCACCCCAATAATTCTGTGATTCTGTAATTACTTTCTGAATTATCCATATCAGTGACTCAAAGCAGCCATTGTTAGCTTACAAATGAGATGTTGAAGAAGGCTATTCTAATCTCTAAACATTAGAGAAACCCCTGTCCATGGCAGCAGGGTTGGAACTAGATGATCTTAAGGTCCTTTCCAACCCTAACTATTCTATGATTCTATTCTATTTCTTTTCAGAAAGGGTTGCGTTAATATGGCCTCTACTATCCATACAAATTCAGTAACACACCTGGAGACAGCATTAGAGAAACAGCATTTACAGTTTTTCTGATCTATTTGTTAAAGTCAAGTGGTTTATCAGGAGGACTCCAGGCACTCTGGCAATGCTACACTTTTTACTCTAGGCTGAAAGCTTGGAGATTTTGACTTTCACAACTCAGAATACGAGAACAATTCAGCTCAAGCACCAGCATGAACGTAGTTTTAGTTATTGCCAGAGCTCAAGCAGCAATGGAGAACCAGCCTGATACCAACATGCAAACGAAGGAACAAAGAACCTTGCTTTGTTAAAGAACTACCTGCCGATTTGCTGAATCACCTAATACTGGGCAGGCTCTTAATGGCAATATTAGAGAAGACATAGCAGCAGCCTTCCTCTTTCCAAAGTTGTCACATATTCTGTATCTGTCCTTTTCACTGAAACAGGGTTTAACTGGAAAAGATCACCAGCATAAGTGTAAATGTTATTCTGACAAGAAATTATTTTTTCCTTTTGATAGCAAAGGAGTAAAGCTCATATTCCTGAATCCCTGAGTTTTTACTCAAATAAACCAACACCTTTTCTCTGTTGTACAAAAGGGATTTCCCCCTCCAATACATTTTGGAAGTTAGAGATGTGTCATTGGAAAGACATTTCTAAGCATGGATCCCTTGATCACGGCTAACAAACCTGGCACACACACGAGGCTAAACTACTTTAGTGCTGGGTCTGCTCTTTGCACAATGGTAGGGCAGGTTCTGAGATAGGTGCACAAAAGGACATGTGCTCCATCTGCTCCTCCGAAATCCCCAGGATAAGGGAAGGAACCACACAGGGCTTTTTGAAGAGGAAGGGAGGGAGGGAAATGCCATTCGGGTAATTTAAGGGGCAGATAACCTATGACCACCTTATTCCTGAAAAGGAAGGTCTTTAAACAGAGTTTTAGATGAGGCAGCGCAAGGTGCAGGCACTGAACTCAGGCGTGACATGGAACAATAACCCGGTACTTACTTCTCAGTGAACCCACTACTTGCTCTTCTCAGCTCGTCTTCTTCAGAGCATGTCTTCTTCACCATGGAGGCCGCCTCACGATTTCAGGGTAGTGAGAGATAAATCCCCCACGAGGTCTCTACCACACGAAAGCCTGCGGGACCCTGTTCGGCCAAGGCAAACGCTGCCCGGCCTGGAGGCAGGGCCGTGCGGGGCTGCGATGATGCCGGTGGGAGCGGACGGGTTTGCAGTGCCCCACATTAGCGCCTGGTTTTTACAGCAAAAGCCTAAAACATCCCGACTTTTCCTCACAGGAGCGGCTTCCCGCCCTTCAGCAGCTACCAGTCCCTGCCGCTCACCGCCGCGGCTCCGCCTTCCCCCGGCCCTCCAGGGCTGCTCCAGCGGCGATGCCGCCGCTACGGGACGGGGCGGGAGGGGGAGAGGGAGGCGGCCCGCGGTGAGGGTTCCGCCCGCTCTCCCTCCCTTCCTTGTCCGGCCGCCTCACGGAGCGGGCCATGGCCCGCAGGTTTGGAAGGCCCTGCGGCTCGGCCGGGTCGGGGGAGCGGTGAGGGGCGCAACCGGGGCGAGGCGGGGAGCAGCCGCCTGTGGGGTCCCTCCGCCTCGGGCATGTCCCCGCCGGCAGGGCCCTCTGCTCGGTGTTAGCGCCTCAAGCCGGCTGCGGGCGCGGTCATGGGGACGGCGTCGTCCCTGGTGAGCCCGGCAGGCGCGGTCGGGGAGGTGATCGAAGACACGTACGGCGGGGGCGAGGCCTGCGAGATCCCCGTAGAGGTGAAGCCCAAGGCCCGGCTGCTGCGCGGCTCCCTGCGGCGGGTCGGTGCCTCGCGGCCCGGCGGCCTCATCGGGGCCAGCTTCAAGTCGACGGCGTCGGTGCAGGAGCTGGAGTGCGTGGCCGAGTACGAGCGGCTGAAGAAGGAGTACGAGATCTTCCGCGTCAGCAAGAACAACGAGGTGGCCTCCATGGTGAAGAAGGAGGCCAAACTGGACAGGGAGAACAAGCGGCTGCGCGCCGAGCTGCAGGTAGCGCCCGCCGCTCTCTCGGATGAGGGGTCTGAGCAGAGAAGCTGTGGCAGGGAGGTGATGGGTGAGGTGGCTTTTCCTTCCCAAGGTGCTGGAGAAGTGGTGCGTGCCTCAGTGCTGTCCTGGTGTGACATTGGTGTGCGGTCAGTGTGTGCCTCTGGGATGGGGACCACAGGGTCCCTGGGTGAGGAGGGATAATATCGTTGCATTCAGACCTGAAGAGGAATCTAAAACCTTTTATCAGTGCTTGCTTTCACTCGGTATATTAAATGTTTTCAGGCACTTCAGAAAACCTACCAGAAAATCCTTAGAGAGAAAGAAAGTGCATTGGAAGCTAAATACCAAGCCATGGAGAGAGCTGCTACTTTTGAACATGATCGAGACAAGGTCAAAAGGCAATTCAAGGTATGGCTTCACTCCCTTTCCTGGGAAAAGGACCAAAAAGAAGATAAATGTCATTTGGGTACATTTCCCCAGTGAACTCTTCTCCAATAGCTTTTGTGAGGAGGACCCTTTCTTCTTATAAAAAATAATTGGAATATCATTGCTGTAGCTGTCTGTTCTGTTTAGGATAATCTTACCATAACATCTCTGTAAGACTGAGGAAAAAGGAGAATATGCAGTGATGCATCTTGAACTAAATTCCTGTGTTATTTGAGCCCAGAAAGTACTCATATTTGAGAGTGACAGGAAAACCTGGGCTGCAAACTGACACATGCTGAAGGAATGTATAAACACAGAGCTCCGTTATTTCTGAATCAATTTTATGTATAGTATTGTAATGTTAAACACTGCTAGCTTACACTGAAGAAAAGTGTGTATTGGTGCATCTCTTGGCTGCTGAAGTGTGATACCCAGTTAAAGACAAAGCGTTTGTGCTTTTGGAGAGGTGACTTGGAATGCCAAGCTGATGCTTCTGCTTTTTCCGTGCTGCAGGTGGTATTCCTACCACCCAAAACAGAGCAGTAGGTCTGGTTTTGCTGGTTTTGCACTGTTTTCAAGATTATCAATACCTTTAATTGTAGCAGGTGTTAATGTTTGGCAGACATATAAAAGGATTGGTTTTGACCTTATTCAAGAAAATGAGACTTAAAGAAGATGTCATCTCTTTGAATTTAGGTTCATGTTTTCTTCCATATGTAAATGTAAAAACAAAATACATGCAGGAATATAAGGGAGCCTTTGAAAAAAGTTATTACATATGGTGGGTTTAGAAGACAATAAACTTTAAAGGATACAAAAAGTTACTTACCATTTTTAATAAACTTCCCCGACTAATGCAAACTTCTGACTTTCAGAACAGTATGCTGAGGTTTAAAATGGTAAAATTGTGAAAACAGGTCATTTAAAACTATGTTTTCCTGCTCATTTATAGGCTCCTGATGGCTTCTTGTTTGCATTTTCATGCCTTTGCCTGCTAAGTGACTGCTAGAACCTGATTTTTCCAACTGAACCAGATAGTATGAATTGAGGAACTGATACTGATTATTGAAAGATTTATGGTTTGTATTTTTCTCTGCTCACAGATTTTTAGAGAAACTAAAGAAAATGAGATTCAGGACTTACTGAGGGCCAAACGGGAGCTAGAAGCCAAGCTTCAGAGACTCCAGGCCCAAGGAATCCAAGTGTTCGATCCTGAAGAGTCTGATTCTGATGATAATTGTACGGATGTTACAGGTGAGAATTTCAGCCTCAATATTTCATGTTGGAATATGGCTGAGGTTTCTGAGTGGTAAAGCACAAGTCAAGTACTTAGGTCCTACAAAAAGAAACATAAAATAGTTTAAAGGGTAAAAGCAGCTGACTTCACAGGCTTGGTTTAGATTGTGGGAACCCCACATTTCTAGTCCTGTGAATGAACTGATGAAGAAAGTAGAGCACTGTCTTGTGTGACCTGAACACTCTTTTAAATTGTTCCATGAACAAGTCTTTATTTTTCTAGTCTTTTCTGAGTTTTCTGTTTCTAGATCTGAGGATCACGCTCCAAAGGATCCAAAAAGCACACTTGAGACTAGAGGGAATCTTAGAATTACTGTTTATGAATAATGCAGTATGCCAGTCTCAGCTGCTGTCCTTTTCGGAACAGCAGTTAGGTATTTAACAACCATGAACTGACCAAAAGAGTAATTTTATTGAAGAACTTTTTGACAGGAAAGCCCTCACAATCTTAATGATATAAAAGGCAAAAGTTTGTTGTATGCTGTAGGAGGTATTTGATAGCATGGGAAGGATTCAGATAGGCACGCGATGAGTCCACTGGCTTTGCATCAGGTTCAAAATAGAGCAATAATAGTAGCAGACTGTTAGCACTTTAACACTCTTAAGGATACCCGCCATTATTTCTTGTACCATGAAGGGTTATTGAGGAAAAACTGTGTGCAACTGCTGTTGCTTAACCTGTGTTTTGCTTATAGAGATCAACTGTTACATCTTGGCAGGAGTATAAATATGCAATCTTTAAAAGTAGAAATGTTTCAAAATGTTTTATGTATTTTTTCTGTCTTTTGTGTTAAACTGATTTTTTAATTCATATTTCCCTTACCTTTTTCTAAGTAATTTTCAATTTCCTGATTTTCTCCATGGAAGGTTTATTTAGTGTCTTGAATGTTGTGTGTTGATTGGCAGAAGTGTAATCCAAGCATGCTGTGAAGAGATACCATGAAAGCTCTTTCACACAGCATAGAGACTATATTTCAATTCTGACCTACAGCCCCTTTATGCTTTTCAGTGCTGGAACACTCCTGAATAAAAGTTGTCAATATTGTGGTATACCAAATGACTGCAGCAATCCTGATTTGTAATGCAGGTCAGCATCTGAACCCAACAGATATCAGCAATCTATATATTGGCAAATAAGCTCATCCTTTAGCTTCACATTACCTTTGGACAAGTGCCTGTTTAGAACGACAGCACACAAAGGTGTGAGCAGATCTGCTAAAGGAGTAAAAATTACAATCAGTGATACATGGCAATGGGTTTCAACTGGAGCATTTAAGACTGATAATTTACCTTGTTTAGTGTCATTAAAAAGGGGGTGGTTTTTTGTTGTTTTCCAATTCTTAGCTGCTGGGGCACAATCTGAGTACTGGAATGGAGGAGCTTTGGGAAGTGAGCCATCCATGGGTAGTATGATGCAACTTCAGCAGTCTTTCAGAGGGCCTGAGTTTGCTCATAGCTCCATAGATGTTGAGGGACCATTTGCAAATATAAACAGGGGTAAGTAATGGTGGTTTGTTTGGCTGGGATTATAGGCTTCTGTGTCATTTTTCTATGTATTCTTAAGTAATTCTGTTCTTTTCTTAGCTCCTTTTCTGTCCATTCATGGGCATGTGAGGGTTATTTGGAATTCTTCATTGTAAAAAACAAAGGAACTGTAGCAGTACATACTGTTACTGTTAATGTATTTGGTGACTGAATATGCGTAGCAGTGATTTTAATGAGCAGCAGTGACTGGCACTTTGTTGAGGGTAAACCAAATACCATTTTGTTACTTATATTGACTAAGGAAGATACTGAGGGGGCCATTGATGGAAATCTGATTACAAGACCAGGATGTATGCATTGTTATGTTGAGTCAGTGTTAGGTATTTTCATATCCATAATTGTTGCTCTGGAACCTTGTTTCCCAAATGACCTCTTGCAGATTGCCTTCTGGTGCTCTGGTTTCCCTCACTGTCCTGGCCCTGGAACCCCTCCTGCATACAGTTGACTTTGCTGGCAGTTTCTCCCTTTTTCCTTCAGTCCTTCAGGCTCTGATTAGGAAGTTTGTGCCTGAAAAGTGGGAGGGCAGGGTCTCTTCTGTGATGGCTCCTGCTTCATACACTAAGCCTTTCATCATCCCATGTGGTACTGAAAGGAGAACCTGCTCCTATCTTGAAAAAGTGACCAGCCACAAAATGAAGAACTTAAGAAAGTTTTAAAATCCATTGCTTCTGTAGGCTTCTATATGCTTCTAGTTGACATTCAGTGCTATAGAAAGCAATGGACTTCATCTCAGTGGGGATTTCCTGTAATGTTCCACTGTGATTTATTCACATAGTCTAATCAAAATAAAGAAATGTAAATCTAGAGAGAAAAGAAAAAACAGCTTTAACTATGAATGATTTTATTGTTTCTGCATATTTTTACTTATTTTACAATTATCAGGTTGGTTTTGTGGATACATTTCATCAATCCTCTTTAAAGGGTTGTAATTGTAATGTATTTGTAATAATATATTTAACACTGGTTTTGCCACAATATCAAATTCTATGACATTGATGATATGTGGACTCTAAATTCAAATTTACAATATTGTTTTAGTAAAAATATTACTACTGTTTTAAGTAACACATAATATTTATGATGTTGAGATGTCATGACTTACCTGTTACCAGTGTAATCAGGCATGAAGATCTCTTTGTTTTGTATTTCTTAGATGATTGGGATGCTGCTGTTGCCAGTTTATTACAGGTTACTCCTCTGTTTTCCCACTCTCTCTGGAGTAACACAGTAAGATGTTTTATTATTGGCACTGATGAGACTCAACCAGAAGTGGACATGTTCATTAGAGTGAGTACCTCATGAGCTTATGCACACTTACAATGCTGGTTTGTTTCCACTGTGATGCTTACTCAGAAAATTGTCTAATATTTCTTGAAAGCCTTAGTGAGTGTAGCCGGATGTCATTGAAAGTATTGTCAAGGACTTCAGAGCAAGAAACTGCTTAGAGAAAAGAAACTGAGATTCATCCAGTAGGTCCGTAGTGCTATGCAGGTTTAGTAATGAAACACCGTTACTCAAATTTGCTTTCAGAACTACTCACCAAAGCTTCAAAGAGCCTGTGAAACAATGGGGTACTTCTTTCAAGTTGTTCATTTTTCAGAAGAACATGAAAGGCCTCTTAAGGATGTAAGAAAATGGGAAATTGAAAAAAGTTCATTAATCGTTTTGCTCCTGCATTTAACTTTGCCAAGGTGAGTGTTTTCCAGACTGGTAAAGCAAATGGAAGCTGGTAATCCATGCAGAGTGCATAGCTTAGTAAAATGTATGTGATGCTTTGCTCAGTACTTTTCCAAATCTACTATCTTCAAAGTGATGCTCCTTCAAACTTCAGGTTTGCTAGTGCAGACAGTTAAAAGAATACATCAGCTTTATATCATTTCCTTTTTCTTTTAGCTACAGATATTCTTAAAACACAGCACTGAAAGGTGTCTTCATAGTACAAAAAGGTTTTGCTTTCCAAGAGCATCTCTCGATTGTGTGTATTGCTGGAGTCTTAGGGATTCAGGATGACTGGTGTGAATGTCTTCTGTGTTTTTCATGTGCTTATCTAGCTTTACACCTGGCTGTAGCATTTTGATTTTATTCTGTCACATATCATTTTCTATCTTTGGTTGGTTTTTGGACTGATTTCTTGGCTCTCCTGTGTGGTACCTTATGCTAGCTTTCTACAGCTTAATTTACTGAGGGTTTACGACAAAAGGTGCTTCCATGTGTTCTGTTTCAGTAAGTAAATTCTTAACTTTCTAGAAGAGGAAACATGACTCAGTAAATGAAAACCACCAAACTAAGAATACTTTTAGAATGGTGTTAGGACTGCTTCTGTTAATGCATTTGGGAAACTTGGGCAGTTTTGATGTTTGGGAGAGGAAGGGATCTCCTTTTGCTGAAGAAGAGAGAAAAAGGGATTAGAAAATGTAATACTAAGGGTCATGGAGTGGTCATTCCAAAACATCTGTATGAATGCAAAAAGCTGGAAATACTGCTATGCATTAAGTTTCATATTAAGAGTAGATTTTGAACTCTAGGGATTTCAAATACTGTGTGTTATTAGAGCTCTTGTATTAACTAGATCTCCTGTTTCTGTAAATAAAACATCTGTCCACAGAGAATTAAAGGCTAGTTTAAGACACTAGTAGCTAAGCTTTACAGCAGTGGAGTAGTTCAGGGAGCAGCCAGGTGCTACAGAAGATGGTGGTTTGTTTTCATAGAGGAATCAGACTAGAGCTGTTGGCCATTTATGCTGGTAGAAGAATAGTGTAAGCTGCCTGGGATATTGGAACTCTGAGGGGATAGTGTTGCCAAATAACCAGCCCTGTGTATGTGGGTCATAAGTGTTCAATAATGAAATACACAAGGAAAAAAAACCCACACAAAGGAATGTTCTTGCCAACAGTATTCACTTAGAGAGTTTCTCTTAGAAAACACATGATGAAAATTGTAGTTCTCATATAAAGAATATAACATTTGAGAGATCCTGTCTGCTGTTGTCAGCATCCTCAAGTTGTACTGTTCTTTGTGGAACAGCGACTGATTGCTGGGAATGATACCCATGGTTATCATTCACATATATAAATACAAAGAGCCTTTGAGTTTGGAGATGCGTAATTCTCCTTTTTAACTACTAAAAATGAAAAGATTATCCTACATCTGACAAATAGTAAAGGACTTCTCCTACAGAGGACAAGGAATAGAACAGAGCCTTCAAATAAGTGGTGACAGAGCATGTGCATGGTGTTTATTAATCGCGTGACTCCATGTTCTTGCCATGCAAGGCAGTTAACCTTCACTCTGCATATTGGTATGACAGGAGATCAACTTTTGATTTACAAAGCAATGATCATAAAAAATAATAAATGGTTTTAATGGTTTCGGTACAGAGAGCGTGTATTTCTCTCTTAGCTTTTCCTTGCTTCAGAGTTTATCCTGAGTTCTCTGCTGAGATATTTGCTTGCCCTTTGTTGTAAATAGATATGGCTTTTGAATTAGATTTTGCAGTGAAACCCATCTTTGGAGCTTGTGTTGATTGAACTGTTTACTACAGCAGTGTAATATAGCACAAGAATGCTGATTTCCAATCTAGTTGTTTGTTGGAGGACTGTGAAGAAGCCTTCTTGAGAAATCCAGAGGAGAAACCCCGGCTCATTTACCACAGAAAGGAAGATGGCAGAGTCAGTTCAGCTTCAGTGCAACAATTCATTGAGCAAATCTCTCATGTGAACAAAGCAAAGGTATGCCGTTTTAAAGACTGATGAATGCTAAAAGGCTTGTTTTCCTGCTATGAACAACATGGAGTGCTAGTAGTCCCACATTTTAGGAGAAACCACATTGAACTCATTGCTCTTGATGCACATTATATGAGCAGATTGAAGCTGGAATCTATGAATGTTATAGAATTTTCAGTAGCAGATGAGAAAAACAGCCACTGCATTTTCACTGAAAATAAAAACCCTATTCTATAAGGATAGAATTTCTCACCTGTGTTTAGCCATTTAAATGGCAAAGTTACTTATCTAAGGCCCCTCTGTATGGCCCCACGGAAGAGAAAGAAGTATGGCTCCAGAGAGACTGTTCCCATCTCAGAATAGATCAGTTGCCATTTGTTTCCCTCTGCAGAGAGAACTACTGGAACTAGGTGCTCAACTTTTAAAACCTTAGACAAAGTGAATCCCGCCTAAGGAAGGCATCAGAATGGAATTTAAATGTGTTCAGAATGTTTTTGTTGGAAGCCCTAAATGATGTTTCCAGTTGGGTTCAGATTTGCATCATGCTTTCCTATTTACTTTTTCAGATGATTGATCATACTGGAGGTGCGGAGGAAGGAACATATGAAATCTATAACTGTGTGGAAAAGATAATTAAACAGGTAGAATACATGGTGCATTTCAGCTTTTACCTGTTTCTGCCTTGATTTATGACCTTAAGTGATGTCAGTATGATTACTACATGTTACTTCAATGTAATTTAAAGGATCATTTTTGTGGTTTTATCATTAATATTTGACAATCGAAGAAATCTGGAAGTGGAAAATAAAAACCCAACCTGATAAGTGATTTTAGGGACAAGAACAGGAATAACAGGGGGAAGGAGTCTCTTTGTGGCTAAAATTCTTCGAATTTCTCTTTAACCATATCATAGGATAAGGAAAGATTGTATAGTCCATTGTTTCCTTATTCTTCCTTGTGGGGAGTTGCTTCCACTATGAGAAGACTAAACCCAATGTCTTGAGACCTGTGCATTCAGTTAACTTGGTTTCATGTAGTTGCTCATTTATTTATGTTCTATGCTACTCTTAAAGGAAATGATCACAGTGATGTTAATAGAGCTGTGTCATACACAGTGGAAATGAGACTAACACCAAATGTGCCTGCACATTTATATATAATAAGAATAATAAATAAGATTTATATATATTAAGAATTAGTTACAGTTTTCTCCATGTAATTTTCTTTTTACTCAGGATATATTGGGGTGTGAAATGACAGAACTAGAAGGCAAGGATTTAGGTAATAAGGAAGAGTCCACTGCTCCTGAAGAAGAAGTTTTTGGTGATGTATTGTGGGATGCACATGATGAACAAGAACAGATGGAAGCTTTTCAGCAGGCCTCTAATTCAACATGTGAGCTGGGATTTGAGAAAGTAAGTACGTTGGAAATGTATATGGATGAAGATGAAAGTCATCACTCCTATCCATCTCTTGTTAGACAAGTTGTACTTCTGCAGAAGAAGCTGTGTCTGAGAGCATCCTTGAGGCTGTTACTCCTTAGGCTAGAAAAAGCCATATGTCTTATATAGATAGCATACTTATTTTTGTGGGAGAGCTGCCAGTTTGTATTGTTGAATGACATTGATGAAGAAGCAGTTGTTGTTCCTGCACTGGAAGAAAAGGACTGTAATGGTGTGCCAGAAGTAGGGTGTCCTAGAAAAGGCTCTGAATGTTTTGGGGTTCTTGGAGGAAATCCAAGCTCTGTCTTGACACCTGGAGTTAGGTCTTTTGGAGATGAGTAATGGAAAGATTACATGGTCCATATGTATGTGAGAAGAGCGAGAGAACTGAAGAGCTGTTGAGTAGCTCGGTCCTTACTCACTACTTGAAATAAAACTTAAAACATTTGAAATTGGGGATGTCAAGCACGATTATAGGTAGGGAAAGTATAGTGAATGTAGGAAGATAAACATTAAAGTGGTTGTGGAAGGTGATGCAACAGCTTATTTTGGCAATATTCCTTGATACTACAATGCAACATAAGCATGCATATTCTGTGTTAATTGTGTTTAAATTGTTAGTACCCTTATTTTACTAGCAAAATTTATTCTTTTACTTCATGATACTCCATTGGCAATGGTTTGGAGGATAGTGCCATCTTTACTACATAGTAGAACAGGAATACAATAGAACATTAATAGAAAAAATACCTATGTATATCTTAATGTGCATCCACTTCTTTTTTCAGCCAAAATAGTTCTCCCAAGTTGATGAAGGGTAATTGTTGGTTTTATCATCCTGAACTCTGCTACAACATTGTTGAGTGTCCATGTGGTGAAAGAAACCCTTTCTTTTGTATGCTTACTGCCTCAAAATACCATTTTACTACCAAAGTGCCAACTTTGAAGGCTTTGTCCTGGCAAGCATATCTAATGCAGTGGAGTAGCTGGGGGGCAAAGAGAGGCAAGGAAGCCTGAACAAACATAGTTCCCAATTGTTTTACTGTAGTAACATTAGTTCAGTTTATTAGGACTGAAAGTTGCATTTTAAATAGTTTTGAAAAAATGTTTCATTTATTTCACTATTTCTTTAAAAGAGATAATAAATTCTGTGGTTTCAGTGTTTAATTAGAGAATTTATTTCAGTAGTTATTCCCATACCTGTATAAATCTGTACATACCTTTTGTATCTAGATGGTTTACAGTACCAAGCACTGTATTTCTCCTTTAAACAGTGGAATATTTGTAATGATTGTTGCTTTTTTTTTTATAGTACTTTGAACGTCTAAATGACCTTGTAGCAGCACCAGCACCAATTCCACCTCTGCTTGTATCAGGAGGACCAGGCTCTGGGAAATCTCTCCTTCTCTCAAAATGGTAGTTTAAACTATTATTTTTTTACATGAATGAAATTTGATGGATTTAAAAAAAAAAAGATGGATTCTATTTCACACATTGTATCAGTTTAATTAGAGGTAAAATGGGAGAATTTACAAAGCACTGAAGTTACTGAAGCATCCTGGAAAGATGTGTAATATTAAGTAGCTAACTCCATCTGGACTGCCTTTAACATCTCCCTGCCTTCAATGTCAATACCTTACAGATCTGTCTGTGGTATCAGTAGCTCCGTAGCTTTGCCCTTCTCTGATACAGAAAGGGGATCCTTTGAAGTCTGTTTAACCAACCTAATAATTTATCATAGAAATGCATTCTGTGGTCACTTGTAGGCTATGACAGAATGTGCTGACATATAAATAAATTGGTAGTGTCATTACTTCTTAGCAGCTTAGTGACATACAGCTGTCCAGTGCCAGGAAGGGCAGTTACTAATGGCTCTCAGTACTGAGAGAACAAAACTTGAATCTGACACAAAAAGTTCAGTTGTAGCTCAGGAAATGTCTATCCTATTTTGCAAGACAACCATCGAACACCTCTAACGCAGACTGTCCATCTCCTTTGGCAAACTAATTGCTTTGATTTGAGATGTATTTGCAAAATTACAGTGTGTTAAGTGCCCTTTCTTTATTTTTGATTTCTCTCATTAGGATTCAATTGCAACAGAAGCATTCCCCAAACACTCTAATTCTTTATCACTTTGTTGGGAGGCCCATGTCTACTAGTGCAGAATCTGCATTGATAATCAAACGCCTTACTTTAAAGGTAGGCTGTGTATTACATACCCTGTATTGTATTAATTCTTTGGAAAGTACCTGTGTGTGTGTTTGTATGTGAAAAGAGAAAATCTTCTACAGGTTTCAGGGTTTTCTACATCAGTTCAGAGTAATACAAATGTAAGGCATTATAGAACGGGGGGAATCGAATCATATATGTTGACTACAGATCAATTAAATAGCATCCCTGGGATATTCACAATAGATTGCCATTGGCACTTGTTCTTCCAGTAACCTATATTGATTGATATAAAACCATATAAGCTGCTTCCAAACTTTCCTGCCATCTGGCCAATGACAGAGGCATGTGGTACCTCTTCTGTCTGTGCATTTAGAAACCTGAGGCTGTATTCATCAGTTGGCGCTATATCTGTTCCTGGACTACTCTGTCTCCTATGATTATTTATTTATTTATGTGTGGTGTGTTAAATATGTGGGGGATAGATGAAGAGTATTTTTGTGCCAGGGCTTGTGCTTTCTTCTTCTTTCACAGGATTAAAACCTTTAGAAAAAGGTCTAGTGGAGGCCAATAAGGATGATCAGGGGTCTGGAACATCTCTCTTTATGAGGAGAGATTGCAGGAGCTGGCCTGTTTAGTCTAGAGAAGAGCAGCATGAGAGGGGCCCTGCCTTGAAAGGGGATTGGACTGGGTGATCTCCAGAGGTCCCTTCCAACCCTAATGATTCTGTGTGAAAAATGAAATTGATTTCTGCTCTCCTTGCAATTTCCTCATGTATTTTAGAAGTCATCCTGTTTAATCTCTGCAACTTTCAAGCCCTTTAAGTCTCCACATCCCATGTCCTCAGGTTATCTCTCTAGAATTTACACAGCGAGTTCAATAAATAGTCTTTGTTCTGCCTATGCCAGCTTTCTGCATATACTAGAAGGAAAGATTTCTGTGTGAACTTGACTATTTTGTGCCAAAATTGTGTGGGGTTTTGTTTGTTTGTTTCTGTCCTGAATCTCCAGGACTTCTTTCGTGAGAGTTTTTAAGGTCAAATTTGCTATATGTGTTTGTAATTCCACAGCTTATGCAACACTCATGGTTAGTGTCACCTCTGACTTTCGATCCAGCTAAACTTCTGGAAGAGTTCCCTCGTTGGCTGGAAAAACTTTCTGCACGTCATCAAGGCAGCATTATTATCATTATTGATTCTATTGACCAGATACAGGTATGTCTTCGAGATACTTACCTCTTGCCAGTCTAGAGGAAATCTCAACTATTGTAATAGGTTTGGCTACATCTGCGTAACAGAAATATTAATGTTTGCTTTTTGCTCTGAACATCACATCTAGAAAATAGAAAATAGTTCTGTAGATAAATTGTGTTCTTTTGGGATTCTTCTTCTATCTTAACACCTTATTTTTGAAGCCTTTTGAAACACCTTTATGTATTGAAAGATTCAGAGCTGGGAGATGATTTATGAGCATCCAAACAGCCTAGTCTTTCTGAGGTAAACTTTTCAACAATAGCATTCTATCATCTGCTTTATTTTATGTACAGTCATGCTCATACATGTCAGTGGGTCAGTTAGTATGGCTTCAAGAACCACATTATGAACATTTATCTTAAGGCAGGGCGGTTGGAACTAGATGATCTTAAGGTCCTTTCCAACCCAAACCATTCTGCGATTCTGTGACACTGGAGAATGTACTGAGCTGTGCAGTTAATGAAATATATCAATTTCCTGCATTGTTTTGAGCAATCTTTGTATTAAGTAACAAAATTTGTTTTTTAAGCAAGCTGAGAAGCATATGAAGTGGCTGATAGATCCATTGCCAGTGAATGTGAGAGTGATTGTATCAGTGAATGTAGAAACATGTCCACAGGCTTGGAGGTATGTTGTATTTCTGAGTTGTTTCAAAGTAGCCTGGCTTGGAATTGTTGTTTTAAATTACAGTTACTTGGTGAAGAGCAAACACCAGTTTTGCCAAGACTTGGAGATTTAATAGGATACAGTTTTGCAACTATTGAGGACAACAAAAGCTTCCCTATTGCAACTGCAGAGGACAGGTTTTAGCTGTTTTGATTTACTGTGATGGATCTGTCCATGTGACTATATGGAAGAGGATATTAAATGCTGTCAGATGCACATGAAGAACCACAATACCATGATGTAGATCCAGGATAAGGCTAAAAGCGGAAATTTGACTTGTGATGACTAGAATTTCTTAGTAACAGGGAATAGCCTCAATTACTGCTGTGATATAAATCTTCAGAAGGGTCTGAAACTTTGATGTCTTTTTTTCCTTTTGTGTGCTATTTAATAAGGTCTGAATATGACTTTGCTCTCTCTTACCAAAGGTTGTGGCCCACTCTTCATCTTGATCCGCTGAATTCCAAAGATGTTAAATCTCTCATTAGTGCAGAATGTAACTCTGCAAATGTTAAATTGACTAAAGAGCAGGTATGTCTGTTGCAGTTCTAAAGTACCTTACTCTAGTATAACTTTTAATGGAAACATACAGGCCCAGGTGCCAGAGGAAAGTATTATATTTAGTTAAGTACTAATGCTCAAGACAGTGTGCCATCTTTTTACCCCATAGCTCATAGCACTGAAACAGATGGAATAGCATAAATTATTAACACATAAACAGTGCAGTTTTACATATTGCTATAAACATGTTACTTTATATTAGAATAATAGGAGGTTTAATATTGTATAATATTGTAACGAAGATTGGCAGAGTGGGGAAAAAAGTATTTTACTTTTAATTTTGCCTTAGAGACCAATTCTATAATGACATCCTCATCTTGAGACGTATGATGGTTAGATCTTAACTCTTTAAAATTCAAAAGGAAACTTTCACTCGTATGCTCCTACAGCTACAAAACTACGCAGTATTTTGTGTGCTGGTCATCATGTCATAGAGTTCAGATCTTACAGATAGAAGCATAGCTAGAACTTTTATTTTCTTATGGAATAGTGAACATGTCATTGGTGCAGTTAATTTCATCTTGGCTTACAGATTTTGTTTGGAATGTTGTAGGAGAAGAAGCTTGAGAGACATTGTCGTTCTGCTGCAACTTGCAATGCTTTGTATGTCACTCTCTTGGGCAAAACCATTGCCTGGTAAGTTGAGGTGATCTTGAAACTATTAACACTCATCACTAGATTAGAAGACCTGAAGTAGGTTTGTTAGCATTTTGAAATACATTCATTTAATGTAATATGAATCTTGTTAAGAGAAAACAGTGGAGCAGCAGTTTCCCCTTTTCACTGACTCTACATGCAATGGGAAGAATAACCAGAATCACCGTTGTTTTGATCCTCAGTGAATCCAAGGAGCTATATCCATCTTTTTTTCTGCTCTTCTGTTTTGATTTTATTTTTGTGTTACTCTTCTGTCTGGGTATGTCAGTTGCTTCAGTGATTTTTAAAGGTATTTGGGGAATGTTGGCATTAAACAGTTTAATTCAGGTCTGTTGTATTTACTGATGTACCAGATAGTTTGCCTCATAGATTTTTAAGCTAAAGGAAGTTCAACAACTGTTTAGTGTAACATCCTGCATATGGTCCTTTGCCCTATAATCCCTGCTGTGGAGAAAATTAATCTTCCCTCTTGTGCAAGAGAATACTTAAGAAGTGCATTGGCTTATTATTAACCTAGACCTCACCTTGTTGAGAAAGATGTATTTTTAGTTGAGAGACTCCCAGGAGATGATACACTGATTGGTAATTTACCCTGGGTGACCCATTTTGATTATTTCTTGTTTCTGTTTTATGTCCTAGAGTGCTTAATGCTCCTGAAAACAGGCTTTGTAAATGCATTAAGCGGAACAGCAGCATGTGGTCTTACCTTTATCCAGCCTGATGTTTTTATTCTGTGCTCCTGTTGGAGGAAAGAACACTGCAACATACTTTAGTAAATAAGAATGTGGCAGTTATTTAGAGAAATCAGTGTAACAGAAGGTGGCTTCAGGAATTCACCTCTTCTGAGTTTAATCTCAGCAAGACCTGTGCTCCTTTTAAACCCAGTAGGCATTCAGAGCCTTTTTGAGCTCTTCAGTAGTTTCCATTCATCTTACTCTGCCAAATTTGATATTCTAAACCATGCCCTTCCTGTCCTGCTCAGTCTTGGAAATACAGGAAATATAGATGAAACCCTTCAACAGTGTTTGCAGTGTCAAGACACCGTGTCACTGTACAGGCTTGTTCTGAGATCAATTCAAGAATCATTGCGGAGTGATTCAGAGAAAGGTCTTTTGAGAGAGGTAAGCAGAGAATGTGTCACTGTTTCTACAGGTATTGTACATTCTTTACTGGAAGAATCTTAAGTTACAAGTAAATACAAACCTATGCTGGTTTATATGTAAGATTAGAGATGGCTGTATTATTAGTATGGAAGGGACAATTTTATTAATTGAATTATATCTTTTGCATAACTGTAGAATGCCTAACTGCTTTGTGTTAAGTTTCAACTAAGTCATTGTCTCCCAAAACAACTTTTCCACTATCATGTGATGCAGAAATAGCATTTCCTTGCTGATCGCTACCTTCATCCAATGATTAACTACACTGAGCATAGTAAATGTAATCAGAATGTGGGATCTTGTGAACACAGGGCACTGCTTCCTCTTCCTACCTTTGCAGAGTTTCCCTGGTGTGTGGAACACAGATTTGATTAGGAGATGATACTCAATTTTTGCTAGAAGTTCTTTGGTGCTGGCAGCATTAAGGCCTTCAGCATATTTTACTGAGATGGAAGTTCCTTATCCTAATGGAGTTATTTTCCAGTGTTTTAGAGGAAGGTTGAAGGAGCCATTCATTTGTCCCAGAGTGTCCCATTTGGTGCTTCATCTATTAGAATGCTAATCCATTAGCACTGAGGACTGTTCTTTGAGGACTGAAGAGGGGAAAGGGCCTGTGTAGGCAGGTGTTGTGTTGGCTCCTAAAGTATTTTTAGTGGAATTTCAGCATAAGTAAGCTCTGTAGCAAACACTGCTAACTATAAAATACTTGTGCTCTATGTAGATACTGTGTGTCATTGGTGTTAGCCACAATGGTGTGAGTGAGTCAGAGCTGATGGAACTTTATCCTGAGCTGTCTTCTGCAGCCTTGGCCTCGCTCATTCACAGCCTGCACAGAATGTGTTTGCTGACATACGGCTGTGGTTTGCTGAAGTTCCAGCACCTCCAGGTAGGTTTTGTTATCTAAACATGTGCAAGTGAAACTCCAACCCCTGAGCCCCTGCTGGGTTTTATAATAGTTCTCCTGTTAACTGGGATGACTGTGTTATGTCTGAGTTTGCTCATCTATTTTCCTTAAGGTCTGATCTGATGTTAGAATCACCTTGAAAACTGCTAGGGCTGTGACATTAGTATTGGCCATTATAGTTCAGCAGTTGAAACCTGGCATTTCAAACCTTCAGAAACTTCTGATCTATTAGTTGTTAACTAACTCCATGTGCTCTAGAAAACACAGGATGCTGGAGAGGGACTCTTCATCAGGGACTGTAGTGATAGGACAAGGGGTGATGGGTTCAAACTGAAACAGGGGAAGTTCAGTTTATATCTAAGGCAGAAGCTCTTCCCTGTGAGGGTGCTGAGGCACTGGCACAGGGTGCCCAGAGAAGTGGTGAATGGTCCATCCCTGGCGGTGTTCAAGGCCATGTTAGACAGGACCTTGAACAGCGTGGTATAGTGTGAGATGTCCCTGTCCATGGCAGGGGTTTGGAACTGGATGATCTTAAGGTCCTTTCCACCCTAAACTATTCTATGATAAAACACTGGTTCTGCAAAAAACAAGCAAAATGAAAGGAAAAGGGACTATTTGCATAACCAGAGCTCTGGTCTAATATAAGACAATGTGTTGCTACTGCTTTCATCATCAAAAGAATTTCAGTTCTACATGATGTGTTTCATAAAGAGATCTTTCATAGCATGCTGTATATCATCAGCACGTAATAAATGCATTTTCTTTCTCTCAATTATACTGTTTTTCAGGCTTGGGAGGTGGTGAGATTAGAGTATATGGAAGAAGGTGAAAATGTTCTTTCTGCCTATAGACAAAAACTAGTGGAGTATTTCACCATGCAGCTAAGGTAGGTCAGAATTCCTCAAGACGTGTTAAATTGCAGGCTTTATGCCTCGGGGATATTTTTGTTTTCTTCATATATCTTCTTTGACTCAGTTTCGTAAATTATTTCAGCAGAATAGCTCTGCAAAACCTTAGTTATCAGGGTCAGTTTATTATTGATATGTTGCTTTTTGATCTTGGAAAATACCGAGGACTGTGGAGGGGAATGGGAAGGAATTTTTACCACATCAGTTACTTTGTGCTAACTGACCCCATGTGCATTTTAAACTCCCAGTAAATGTTAGGAACTTCGAGGTTCCTTAGAACTTGGAGAAGCAAAGGACAGCTTGTGTTCAGCAAGCAGTTAGCACACACACAAGAGGAGGTCCAGTAGGAAAGCTGAACAGCTACAAGTTCACATCCAGCTTGAGAAGTGGTTTGCATTTACAGTCCTGAGGTAGTGTGGCCCACCTGTGGGCTACTGCTTACTGTATCCACTGCTGGGGAGCAGAAAGCCAAGAGAGCCACAGTGTGCCAGGGAAAAGTCACAAAGGGATGGAGGGCACAGGTCAGCCCATATGGGAGGGAGGAGCAGCTTCCTGTGGGGTACCTGGGGGTTCCACTAGCTCTGAGGTGAAGTTAAAATGAAGATGTGAGAAAATGGAGTACATAGGTCTTATAGTAGTCAGTCTGTTTAGGCATTCAAGCATGGCAATTGTGTGCTTGCCTAGTTTTCCCTTCCAATGGGCAAGTTCTTTTAGGCCTCTCAGGGTTTTAATGTTTGTATTTATTTGCTTTTCTTTCAATAGTCGAGACCGAGTGACTTGGAGAAGCGCAGATGAACTTCCCTGGCTCTTCCAACAGCAGGGTGATAAGCAAAAGCTACACAAGTGTCTTTTGAATCTCTTTGTGTCGCAAAACCTTTACAAAAGGTACAAAAGCAGCCACTGCTTCAGCGGTTAGAAACACTTCAAAGCAACTTTTTGTCAATATAGATCAGATAATGACAGATATTTATTAAAAGAGCTGAAATAGTAGAGGCTGAAATGCTAAATGCTCTTGTCACATAAATCATCTTTTTTTTGTCTATTCTGTCACATATGGGGGTTGCTAAAGGGACAAATAAACACTGCTGTTGAACAGCTTAGTCTCTATGGATTGTGTCTAGATGCTGTAGCCTAAAGACAGCCTAAAGACAGCATTCATGCATATGGCCCTTTTCTTCTAAGCTAGCATGAGTCTGAATAGAGGGGTATCAGAGATAAGATGAGCTTCTTATTTCCTTGTTAAAACAGGGGACATTTTGCAGAGTTGCTGAGTTACTGGCAGCTGGTTGGGAAAGATAAGAGCTCTATGGCAGCTGAGTATTTTGACTCTCTGAAAGAATATGAGAAAAGCTGTGAGGGAGAGGCAAGTATGATCTGCCTGGCTGATCTTTATGAGACCCTGGGACGGTTTCTTAAGGACCTAGGTCTTCTCAGTCAGGTAAGTGCACGTAGAGATTGTTGTAACAGCAAGAAGGTGAATTAAGCAGAGCTCAGCGTGTGCTTTCTGTTGCAGTTGTGAAGTCGTTGTAGCATGCAGGGTGCTGCCTGCTGCCATCATACACTGACCTCCCTTGTTCCAGGCCGTGGCTCCTCTGCAGCGCTCTCTGGAGATCCGCGAGACTGCGCTGGATCCAGACCACCCGAGGGTGGCACAGTCACTGCACCAGCTCGCAGGAGTTTATGTGCAGTGGAAGAAGTTTGGGAATGCTGAGCAGTTGTATAAACAGGCACTGGAAATCTCTGAGAACGCTTACGGAGCTGAGCATCCTCGGGTAGCCCGTGAACTTGATGCGCTTGCAACCCTATACCAAAAGCAGAACAAGTAAGCTTAACTACACTGGTATTTGTATGTGGAGGTGCCCAGAAATAACAGCAAAGATTTTCCTCCTGAAGCAATGTTTCATTGGTTCTGGTTTAGAGTTTCATAAGTTCCCATGCAACCGTGAGCATCCCCTCTGTATTCCTGTAGCAAGCCACCCCGTAGGGGCCAATATCTGTTTTTCATCTAACAACAAAGCATTATCTGGCCCTAAGCATCTTGAATATTCTTATCTTTGACAAAAAGTGTGATTTCTTCCCCCAAGATTCTTAAATTCTCCTCAAATGTATACACTCTGGTAATTTAGAGGCTTTCCAGAATACTCATCGATGCTACATTTGGCATTCTAATTGTTTTCAGATATGAACAAGCTGAGCAACTGAGGAAAAAGTCCTTCAGAATACGCCAAAAAGCAGCAAGGAGGAAAGGCAGCCTGGTGAGGAGATGTTTGATACTTAAAGTACAGGGCATGCTATGGCTCTGCAGAATGGATGATAAAGTGCCCCTGCAGAGCTGACAAAGCTCCAGGGCTTTGGATAATGGAGGGCATAGGTAGTGGAGTAGCCCAGCAGCAGCTTTTTCAACTGGCTTTTCATCTCTGCTGTGAGTGGAGATGCATCAGTCCTACTGGTATGGAGTTGAGAGGGGTGGAAAAGAAAGAAGTGGGTATGTCCATTTTGGGTGTGCAAAATGACTGCTGATACAATTGGCAGGGGAATAAGGTGTTCTCTAGAAGGACTGAGGCATGTATCCTAATAGGATGAACAGAGTGTTTTACTGCAGTGAATAATCCAAGTAATAATTTTAGGTGCCATACTAAGTTTTTCCCCATTTTGTCCTCTGGGTTTTTCAGCTACAGAGTTCCTCTTGCCATTCTTGAGTTAATGCTTTGTTTGTCATGCAGTGCTTGTAACTTCAGAGCTCTAAGTTGTACCTCTAATAAAAACAGTGAAAGGCCATAAGAATGTTGCTATTTCCACAGTGCTTAAGTAGAAATGAATTTGAATCTTGAAGATTGTGTCCATTTCTGTAACAAATTCTGCTGCACAAATCTTTCTATTAAGGCTGCAAAGATGGAGAATAGGAGGAGTGTGTAACAGTGGCTGCACTTTCTACTTGTAATTCACTTTGCATGTAAGCATTAGCTTGGCAGCCCATGTTGCAATGATCCATGGAACATTTTACAATGATCCAGCCTGGAGTAATAGTTAATATGTATTTGTAAATGGCATTTAGGATAGGAAATTAAATTGGTTTTGAGTGTAGAAACCTAAGAATTTGATCTGAATTCGTTATTTGAACTGTGGAGTTTAAGCAAATCAGCGTGTGTGATACAAGACAAACAAAGCACAGTAACTTTAAATTCCTGGAAGCATTTTGGGTGAAATTCCCTGTTAGATTGTAAATAAGCAATTGTTTATGTGGCAATCAATCAGCTTGAAAACAGAACTTAGTTAGGATAATTGTGTTCCTTTGGCACCAAACTAAGTCTTCTGATGTTCTGCCTTTAGCTGTACTTTCAAAGTAATGGGGATTGGCTTAAAGTACCTTGTGTTTTGCCATAGTGTGGCTTTGCTCTCCTGCGCCAAAGAGCCCTGCAGTTGGAAGAGCTCACCTTAGGCAAGGATACACCAGATAATGCTCGAACCCTCAATGAGCTTGGAGTCCTCTACTACTTGCAGAATAATCTGGAGTAAGTGTTCCTAATTGTGATGCATCCACTGAGTGTCCCTATAGATGTAAACGGAGGTAAAGCATTGAGAACTAGCACTAAATGTGAACACATGATCAAATGTGGTGCTGTCCCTGATTCATTCTGCCGAGGTTTGTTTGCTGTGAAATTCACTCATCATTTCTACGCTTGATGCTGTTAGCATGTGAGTATTTACTAAGTCAGTGCATTTCCTGCATTCAGAATTGCTGCTCCACAGTTTAAGTTCACTATCTTTCATTGCACATATCAGTTCTTTCTTGACATTTGTGCCTCCTCTACTCAGCGTTTCTGTTTTGTGACCCTCCTTTGTACTGTTCATCTGTGAATGGCAGCATTGTTCTGTAAAATACACTCAAAATATCAGTATTAGTAGAAATTATGAGTTAAATATTCGCTGTGCTTGGAATCCTTCGGCTTTTACCCTGCTGGCCTTTTTAAGGGGATAGAGCAGCACAAAGGTGTTCTAAGAGCAGATAAGCAGGGGTGTTGAAGGGGAATAAAAGGTGCAGAACAGTTCTGATTGCATGGCAAGAAGCCACTCTTCAGATCAGCTTCTTCAGGCTGCAGAGTAGTTTAAAGGTGTGTGTTGTGAGGGAGTTGTAAAGTCACGTTAAATGTTTTCAGAGGAAAAAGAGAGTGCACAGCAAGAAAAGCACAGAGTAAGTTCTGGAAGTCTCTTACCTTCTTCCTATGTCTGATGTTTATGTCACAGTAGTTGTTGGGGAGCTGCAGAAATAAATATGTTGGAATTTAGGATCTGCACATGGAATCTCTGTTAAATGCAGAAATTATAAATATTTAATAATTATATAAATATAATCAATATAATAAATATAAATATGTAATTATATATAATTATGTATTATGTATAAAATATGTAAATATAATACATAATTATATGCTTATATATAATTATAAAGTTATATAATTTATATAATTTCTCATTATATATAATTATATAAACATTATCATATATAATAATTATAAAGTTAGAAATATAACTTCTTTATGGTGAAGCAGTTGATTTTTAACAGTGTTGGAAAATGGGGGGTTTTGCATCAGTTTTCCCTCATGAAGTCATGCTGAAGTGACTGATGATAGAGGAGTGGCACCTCTGTAATGTCATACAAGATCATTTTATATTCCTCATTGTTCATATGTAGTTTCTGTCCAACGCAGCCGAACTTCTAGAGTAACTCTATCTCCACTATTTCATAGGTGAGCAAAAGGATAAACCTTGTGCTAGTGAAGCTTGAAGTCATTGTTTTAACTGGATATTGTGTCTCCATTCAGAATCAGCAAGTCTGAGATTGAATTTTTTGATCATTTGATGCAGTTAGAATGAAATCAATGACAGTTGTGTATGTTAGATCACATCATCCCCCATCCCCTGCATAGAGCGAAGACCTTCTGACATTTCTCTGAGATCTCCAGAACTGAACCTACAGTTCTGTGTATAAATGACTTATTTTTTCCCCTGTAACGTGAAATGGATTTTTCCCATTTCCTAAGCTGACCTCTTGGGAATAGTGTCGCACAGAATTTGTCTGTATGTCAGGATGACAAACTGCCTGGTTATAGTGGATGCTGCCATGGTTACATGGGGATCACGCGTTGTTCCTGACAGAGGTGCTGTAAATCTGTAGTGGAATAGTAGTACTACACTAGTGAGACAAAGTATACCCTTTTGATAGGGCAATGCTTGAATGGTGGCATTACAGAGTCTCTTCTACTTTGTCACTTCTAGACAGCTTCTTCTATGAGAAGCTAGCTTGACATACATAAAACCCTGTTCCAGTCTCTGTCAGCTTGGTGTGAAAGCTGTCTGTTCAGCCCTATAATGTGGTTTATGTTCTTTAAAGTCCCTTGAAAAATATGTGTTCTGGACCTTTACCTCATACCTCACTATTGTTTTATCCATGGAGCTACTTGACTACTGTGCCCAGAAGTCAGTAGACTCTTTTGAACAAGGAAGGGTTACTTGCATAACTGAAGATGTAGGCTGAATTAAAGAGCAGCCATGGGTTAGGGTAACGTTTGCTGAAATGTGCTAGACTGTCTTTTCAGTGCTTATAACAGGGGGGATACAGGATTGCACAGGAATATATTAGCTTGCTGCCTACATCCTAGACACAGCAGGTCTGTGTCAGGGATGTGTAGTTCCTCACTGTGTAAGTGAATCTCTGCTCTGGTGTTTGGTTATTCTGAGGAGAGTCCACTGCCAGATGCCAGTGTCTGTGCAGTTTCCAAGGCTGAGTTTGTTCTGTTTCAAACAGCCACTTCAGCCTGTACGGATGTCCCCAGCTTTCAGACACTGCTGACTGAGTGAATGTGTTCTGCAGGACAGCAGAGCTCTTCCTGAAGCGCTCCTTAGAAATGAGAGAGAGAGTCCTGGGGCCCGAGCACCCCGACTGCGCGCAGTCCTTGAACAACCTGGCAGCCTTGTACAATGAGAAGAAGCACTATGACAAGGCAGAGGAACTCTATGAGAAAGCTTTAGACATCAGGAGGAGAGCACTGGCTCCAGATCATCCCTCCTTGGCTTACACTGTCAAACACCTGGCAGTGCTGTACAAAAAGATGGTAAGCACAAGCCTGTTACTTTTTCTTGACCACCTTGCATTGTTAGTCTTCAATCCAGAGGGAGTGGGGCACTGGAATATTGTCAGCTGTTGGTGATCCACACCAATAAAAGATGCATAAAGATGTGGTCAAGTGGCCTTGGTGTGTTTCCAAAAGGCCCACTAGCTTTCTCAAAACACATTTATAAACACGTACTTATTCCAGGTGAGTTACTGAGCATCTTCAAACTGGTGATGCTTTGAAAACATAAGGAGAAAATACGAGTTCTGCAATTCTAGTGATCCATTTCTCACCATTACAGTGGAAGTTTGCAATATTTAATTGTGATTAAATATGAGAACTCACATTCTAAGAACAGAAGCCTAAGCATACTTGTGAAGTCTATCCAGTCAGTATGTGAGCAGATTGGAATTTGGAGGAAAACAGATTTGCTGGAAAAATAATCTCCAGTAAAACTAGCTGGAATATGAGAGAGGTATCTTAGAGAAACCGAAGTCAAGAAGCCAATGCCTCAGTATGGCAAATGGGAAGCAACAGGTACTTGAAAAGGCATCAGACACTGTGGCTGTTCCAGGGAGGATGGTGTGAACACCACTTCAGTACGTGGAAAACTGCCCAAAAGTTAAGGCAGCTCCATTCCCATTCCCATGTCACCGGTAAAATGTAGGCCCTTCAGGACAAAAAATAAGCTCTGCTCTCTGCAGGATGAGACAATTGTGGAGAGAATATACATTCTAAAAGAAACAGGCATAGCTGAGGAACACATCACCTGGGAGCTGAATGTGCTCAGTGTTGGGGAAAATTAGGTCCTAATCAATATTCATGATAAAGAATCTGTGCAGAATATAACTATGAATTAACCAGAATTAAACCCTTATTCTGGAAACAGCCACATCTTCTCCAGGGCTTTTTGTTTAAAACAGATTTTACTGTTGCCGTTTTGACACAAAACAACTGAATCATTTCCACCCCTTTGTTTCTAGGGAAAACTTGACAAGGCTGTTCCTCTGTACGAGCTAGCAGTTGAAATCCGACAGAAGTCATTTGGCCCAAAACACCCCAGTGTGGCAACTGCTTTGGTCAATCTGGCTGTCCTGTACTGTCAGATGGTAAGTGCTTCATGTCTTTATTCGTGTCATAGGTTGTATAAGAGTAGGACTAAAGCACAACATTTCCAGTGACAGGTGGTTGTCACACTATGAGGAAACAGCTCGACTGCTGACTCAGGGGGAAACACAGCCCTTTGAATCATAGAATCACAGAATGGTTTGGGTTAGAAAGGACCTTAAGATCATCCAGTTCCAACCCCCTACCATGGCCAGAGACACCTCACACTAGACCATAGCACCAAAGGCTCTGTCCAGCCTGGGCTTCCAGTGTCTGAAGGGGGCTGCAGGGATGTTGGAGAGGGACTCGTCATCAGGGACTGTAGTGACAGGACAAGGGGTGATGGGTTCAAACTGAAATAGGGGAAGTTCAGGTTAGATCTAAGGCAGAAGCTCTTCCCTGTGAGGGTGCTGAGGCGCTGGCACAGGGTGCCCAGAGAAGCTGTGGCTGCCCCATCCCTGGCAGTGCTCAAGGCCAGGTTGGACGGAGTCTTTGATGACATGGTTTAGTGTGAGGTGTCCCTGGGTATGGCACAGGGTTGCAACTGGATGATGTTAAGGTCCTTTCCAACCCAAACCATTCTGTGATTCTCTGTATAATAAAATCTGAGAAGGCTGTAGACTTCCTAGTTTACAGCTAATACAAAATTCAAAAGAGATGCAATCAATTTGATAAAAACCAAATCAATTTACCACATTCCTTACTTAGCATCAGTAGGAGCGAGCTGTTGATTTTTTTCTCTCTTTCTGCAATATGCGTATGTGATTTTAAACAGGGATTAAAGTTGTCTCAGGTAAAATTAAAGAGCATTTGGTAACTCAGAGCTTTCAGAATTGAGATCTTTCAAAACTGCCCAGAAGCCCAGACCCCAATTATTACAATACTGGGGGGGGGCGGATTGTATTTGCAAGGGCAAACCAATTGCTCTGACAATCTCAATTACCATCCTCATCTGTCAACAGTATCAAGAACTCAAAACACTTTTCTGGTTAAATATGCACGACTTTGCATCTAGAATGTGTTGATATTCTGTTGGCAAAAGGAATTACAAGTGTAACATACATCTGTAACAAACAACTCTCTCCTACCCAAAGAAAAAGCAGATTGAAGCTTTACCTCTCTATGAACGGGCGCTAAAGATTTATGAAGACAGCTTTGGGCACATGCATCCTCGTGTGGGGGAAACTCTGAAGAACTTGGCTGTGCTTAGGTAAGATTATATGGTTTAGCCCTATAAAAGCAAATTACTATAACAATTACTGGATGAAAGAAAACATCCTGGACTTGTGTACTTAATAGGCAAGTGGAGAGCCTTAAGCACACTTTGGTGATAGCATGGTGTGCATTTCAGTTGAAACTAAATGAGAGACCTGTTTTATTTGCTTGTTTCAACTTTGCTTTACTCTTCTCCAAAGCTATGAAGGGGGAGACTTTGAGAAGGCAGCGGAACTGTACAAGAGAGCTATGGAAATAAAAGAAGCAGAGACTTTGTTGATAGGTGGAAAAGCAACTTCTCGACACTCATCGAGTGGAGATACATTCAGCTTAAAAAGTGCATTATCACCCAATATTTTCCTGGAACATGGACAAAGGTGATACAAACCTGCTCCAAGGAAAGGCAGGCTTTGTTGCTATTTTAAAGCAGACATGAAATGACTATTTTTCCTGAGATAATGTAGTATTTTGGGACCGACCCCTGTCTTCATGAAAGACAGGGAAACAAATGTTGAAGCTTGAAATCCATCCATGTTAACTTTGCAGGCTGCATGGTACGAAGTGAGCTTCTTTCATTGTATATAGATACGCACATTAATTACTAGCTGAAGTCAGAGCTACTACTAAACCCATGGACTGGTTACCTCTTAGCCTAAAGTTCAGTGAAGCATATCAGATATACTCTATGGAGTAACTTATTTCTGTGTTGGAAGAGCTTGGCTTGTAGGATTTGTGTATTTCTGGGTTTCATCCATCCTTCTTGCCTTTTTAGAAGCTTTTAAAGGTGTTTCTAAAAAGAGGAATTTTGAGTAAGTCAAAAATTCCACTTAAAGTACCTGCAGGGTGGCTTCAGCTTGAAGCAAACTTACATTCAAGGGACTTGCGCAAAAATAATTGGTTTCCTTGGGCAGCTAATACCTAAATACACCCTTGTATGCCCTAAATATACCCTCACCTGCAGCTAAAGCTGTTGTCAGATTCAACTGTGTCCAGTAAAAATACTTGCAGTAAGGAACCAGAAGGATGATGATGATGACCCGATTCCCTGTTGTTAGCCCTTTAGCAATGCTTTTGCTATTTATTCTCATAGAATCCCTTAAAACACAACAATATTTGTATTATCTGCAAAAACCTGGTAATTCAAATTAGTTTTCCATCAGATAAAAAGATGCTAATGAGATCTACCTGCTTGCTGTATTTCGTGATACTCTGGTCAGCTAGAAGTCTGTTATTCCAGTTCAGTCATAGAACCCCAGATTGGTTTGGGTTGGAAGGGTTCTTATAGCTCATAGGCAGAGACACCTTCCACTAAGGTGCCCAAGGCTCTGTTCAACCTGGCCTTGAACACTGCCAGGGATGGGGCAGCCACAGCTTCTCTGGGCACCCTGTGCCAGCGCCTCAGCACCCTCACAGGGAAGAGCTTCTGCCTTAGATCTAACCTGAACTTCCCCTGTTTCAGTTTGAACCCATCACCCCTTGTCCTATCGCTACAGTCCATGATGAAGGGTCCCTCTCCAGCATCAATCCATGAATCAATTTAAATACATACTAAAAAAAGACATTTTTATTAAGTGAATAATTAAAACTTCACCATAATGTTTTAGTGGCAACTGATGTAAAGATTTACTTGATCTAATTTTGACTGAAAAATGCAAGTGGCTATCACCATCAGAATGGTACTTCCCTTCCACAGTATTTTCTTCCTTTTTAGAACAGAGTTAAATATAACCTATTTCAGCCCTTGTTCTGGAATTTAACATTCTGGTAAGGGTGTAACTTAGCAAAGGAAACAATATATAAACCTGATAGAACAAACACACAACCCAAATCTGATTCTAAAGGTTAAAATTTAGTTGAAAAAACCCCAAATAGGTCTTGAAGGTATTACAGTACAGCAAACAGGAGTTGACACTGTGTAATAGCTCTCTGGGTATTTCATTCTTAGTTCAGAAAATGGGGTTTTAATCAAAGCAGGAGTTTTCCCCCTCTGTTCCAGCCACCTTGAGAAGCTGTGGAAATTGGGAAGTTCTTTGCAGGATTGTTGCTAAAGAGAAGGAAAAGAGGAAAAGGTAAAAAAGAACACAAAAACCACCCCCCAAACCCTCAACCTTTTCAGCTTGTGGGTGTTTCTGTTGCCTGCTCTGCTCAGAGATGGGAGTTCCCTCCTCCAAAGCCAGTGCTGGGAATTAGCAGATGTCTGCTCAAGGTTGTCACCTCTGTTCTGGTTTTAAAATGTATAGTGGTGTATCTTGTTCTCCTCAATAGCTTTCCTCAGTGTTGTTATCTTAAATGAGAAGATACAACACTGGAGGGTCTAGAAGGGATCAGACTTGCCCCATTTAGTGATTCTCACTTCTGACCTGTCACACTTCTTCCCTTGAGTGACTTCTTTCCAACTCACTCACAGGCTGCAGGGTTGATTTTAGGAGAAAAATCAGTCCCTAAAAAGTAGCAGATCCCGACCATCCATGCTCCACCAGCAAAGATAGTGAGGAAACAACAGGCTTTAGCTGTCAACCCAAAGGAAACCTTCTACAGGAAGTAAAACAGGACCATAAGTAATGGTGGAGGGTCTTGCAGGCCGCATGTTGGCCATGAGCTGATGCAGCTGTAGTCATAGTGCTCTTAAGATAGTTGTCCACGTATCTGCAGTTGTGCCTCATGGATATTAAAGAAGTAACTTGTGTATCTGGTGTATGCCAAATGATACTTCCATGTAGAAAACACCTTAACACAGAGCGTGACCAGTTTCAATGGAGATTTCATCATAGTCAGTATCAACATGACAGTAACACTCGTGATGCACTGTAAAACCAGAAAGCTTCATTTATCAGATTGCCAAATAAACAAAGCTGGGCTAAACCATTGCAAGATGCTTTGTTAGTTCATCATGAAAGGAGTCATAAATCTTCCTTCGTGTTTTATAGTCAGAGGACATTATACTTGTAAATGTCTTTTTAACTTAACAAAATTCCTTGAAACTGCTTTTTCTTTGATGCTGTTTATTTTAAACTCATTTTAACCATTGGCACATACAATCATCTTAATGTGTTTTCTGATTATTTCAAGTTCTTGTATACACAAGCTGAAAGCAGCAGGAGAACCACCCCGCATGCTCTGTAAGCGAGCATACGAAGTGTATTACTTTGCTCATAAAACTCTCCAGGAAGTAGGATGGTAAATGCTTGCCTCTTGTAAAGGTGTCAGTCGTGTATAGCTGTCGTGCCAGCAAATACTGAAGAGACAAGATTAACTGAGCTCTTGCAGAAGTGACACAACCATTGGCCTCAGGATCTCCAGAGCCAGGCCTCACTTCATTGCTCCCAACAGAAAGGTAAAGTCACAAAGGAATGCAAGTAACACTTAACATGAGATTTACACCAAACTAATTGGACTTAGTGACACAGATTCGAGCATGTACCTTGTTAATGATCTCATTGTCCTATTTCCCATCCCTATTTACAGTTCACTTCTAAAATCTGCTTGCTCCAGAACTGGAATCAGTCCAAAACCCCACTTCCATTCTATAAGATAATGCACCGCAGCCAAAACCTCCCTCGCCACCTTCATGAGTGATTTTTACGTATATAAGACCTAGTGTCAGATGTGGAGGAAAGAGATTTTGAAGTTTATAAGCCCTGCTTAGAAAGCAAACCATTTTAAACGAAGTACCAGAAGCACCTGCACAGCACTGCTCTCTCTTTACATGTTGGTTGGATACTACTACCACTAATTACTACCTGGTCTGTGCTGGCTGCATCACACTGTGGAAAGGTAGCTTTTGAAGAGCCCAAGGTGGAACTATTTGTATTATAATGCAACTGGTATTCTCCTAAATCTTAATAATGATCAAATTCTGGATCAGACACCCCCAGTAGCTCACGTAGTTGCAATGGATACTTCCAGTTGTGCAGGGCACTGGCACTGCAGGATGTACATTTACAGGTCAGTTCAACAGGTGACAATTTAAAGGTACTATGACTGTACTAATGTTATTTACAGGACAAATGCAATAACTCAGCTACTCCACTGAAGATACTTGCAACACTAAATGGAGTTTGGAGCATCTAATTTTAGAAGCTTTCCTATGCAAACTCGGATGAAGTATATTCCTTAATATAACCCATATAATGGGGGATGGATCAGAATTCCAGCTGAAATAAAATAAGCAACAAAAATACAGAGATTTTCAAAGAGATAGACAGCATCTCCTATTCTCACCAGTGGCGCTGGTAATTCTTAAGACTATCACAAAAAACATCTGCCAGCTGATGTGGCAATGTTAATACCCAGTTTGCTAGTATAATTACTACTAACTAGAGACTTTGCCTTGGTGCAGCATGCTCAAAGCATTATCCCATACAAAACATACAGGCAGTTATTTAAGAACAACCAGTAGTAAAACACTGATAAACCCAAGGTAGTTAAAAAAAATTCCATCCCAGCAATATTTAAAGTGATGAAAGGGCTGAAATGATCTACTCAGATCAACAGTCACAGCACGATCCATGCCAAGAATACAGAGACCAGTGAGCAACAGCCAAGTACAAGTGCCTGGAAAATCAGGAGCAGCAATATGAGTGACGTACTACCTGCCCTTGGCCTACCAGGTGCTCTCCAGCAGATCTCATCTTTCACTTGTCTTATGCTGTGTTCTGTTCTCATCACATGATGGTGCATATATCATGCTGTGCCTGCTTTTGTGAGTTTCATAGAAGCATGGAATGGTTTAGGTTGGAAGGGACCTCAAGATCATCCAGTTCCAGCCCCCTGCTATGGGCAGGGACACCTTCCACTAGACCAGTTTGCTCCAAGCCCCGTCCAACCTGGCCTTGAACACTGCCAGGGATGGGGCAGCCACAGCTTCTCCGGGCAAACAATGCCAGTGCCTCAGCACCCTCACAGGGAAGAACTTGTGCCTTAGTTTGTCCATCTCTATTTCCTACTGAACAGCTGCACACTAGGAGTGCTGAGGAATTAAGAGTTTACAGTAGCACAACTCCCTGTGTACAACGTAACCGCGTCTCCTTCCTGCCCCTGTAACAGTTCCATTTCATCAGAAACACAAAGAGAAGTTTCAGTGGAGGTAAAAAAAAGAGGGGAAAAAAAAGTGTGGTCTTCTTACAATCCACTGTCAAGCCAGACTCCCCGGAGTTGTACTTAATATTTGCTACATGTTTCTCATTTTGGCCATGAGTTCTTCTAGGCTTTCTTCAGACTCTGCTACCGTTTCCTCAGTTATCAAATTCTCTTCCTATGAGAAACAGGAAGAAAAAGTTGGCATCACAAGTAGCAAACAAAAGGCCCCCCACAAATAAGCTTGAATTCGCAATCACAACATTAGGCCTAAATCATTCTCAGCTTAAACTGTAAACTGTTCTGACGGAGAGTTAGAGTGTTCTGGCTGCAATCACACAGATTCTATGTTCCCCAGGTATACGAATTGCTCTTTGATTACACACAGCTTTAACAAGATAAATATGGTAAAAATCAATTAGTCACCAAAATATCAACTGAGAAATACAGGTTTTCCTTTCCAAACACATTCATTCCTGTCACCTTATAACTACAGTCACACTGACATCCGTCCTTAAGCATCTTTAGAAGCACAAACCTGGACCACAGAAGGCACTACTGGGATGCACTGAGGTACAGCTGCACTGGGACTGCTCCAGATGGAGTTTTAGTGTCGGTTTAAAGGGTAACCAAACTGGCTGCTTATTATAAATGTAATCTACAACACATTTCAAAACTGCACACAGAATAAATACATTACCTTGTTGGGGATAGTGTATGCTACAGTAATGCCCTCGGGAAGCTCAGGAACCGGGCCAGATGCAGCCTTCAGCTCATCTTCTGAAGTTTCTGATACTAATTCAATGCCTTTGCATTAAAACAAATTGAGAACTCCATTAAAAGTTAGAAGAACAAGTTCTTTAAGCACTAAGTTATCACAGTGAGAGGAAAACAGCAGAGACTTTCCCAAAAGAGAAAGAAAATTAAAAGCAGGAAGATCTTTGATTCCAGCTTCTCCATTCCATGATCAATACAAAATATTTTCCCTTGACAATGTATTAAAATCTATGGACAAGAATGGCACCTCTCCTATAGGACTTCCCTCTCCTTACCGTTTAAATCTTATTGTGAGGGCACTTCTCCCACTGGTGAGCTAAGATCATGTAATAAACAGAACGTATATATCTTTTCTTGAAACAGTTATATAAAACACACCATTCCTTAAGACAATTCCTTCTAACTTAAAGCCCTGAGAGGAACATAAAGATCCAGGGGATGGTTCAGCACAGGGGGTAGGGAATGACAAAAGCTCTTGAGTTACATATTTAGTTACACAGTGAGTCAATCTTCTCACACGTTTTATATCTTCAGTCCATCTCCTGAGAAAGTTTCCTATTCCAACAGCTGTTGCATTTTGAGGCTAAAACCTGCACATTACACTAACAATACATCACTGAGTTGTGGTACCATTACTGTCAAATGCTGTGAAAAGCCAGCAGGAGTTACATGGTGTAAATCACAAAGCTGGGAACATAAGGAGTCCATGTACCCTGCGGTGTGTTACCCAAACCAAAGACTTTAACTGAGTCTCCATACTGGGAACATGGTTCAGTCTCCAGCTGAATACGTACCCCAGTCGTTGTCTTCATGTACTATTTCCTCTTGCTGTTCAATTACTTCTTGTTTTGGTTGTGCAGCTGCTTTTTTCTGGTGGAAAACCACAAAAAGATAAACACCATAATGTATGGAATAGTCCAACAACAGCAAGAAAGAGAATATCTAATGTTGACACTCCTTTGAATATTTAAGGTATGCAGTCACTATTTAGAGCTTTGTAGGGCATAAAAAGGCAGAATACCTGCAAGGGAAAAACCCAAACCCACTAACACTCAAAACCATGACTGCCAGAAAGGCTGAGTAATCACTGTAGAAGAAAATACTATTTAACTGAATGTCAGTTCTGCCTCCCCTTTGCTTTGAGATAATGCCAAGTACTGTGTTTTTAGGAACACATGCAACCATCTGAAGACAACACTGCTGAAAACTGGAGCAGCAATACAAGTTCTTCTGCTACAGATCTGTAGCTTGCTTTGTTCTTAAGACTTCTAAGAGAGGAGAGAAAACAAACCAAAACCAGCAAATCTTTTTTACCTTGTAATTTTCTTGCTGTTTTCTGCAGTTTTGGTCACTACATTGTGGGTTTGGCTTCATAGACATAGTTGGAAAGAAATCCTGCATCGCATTGTAACCAAGATAGTAACTCACAGTACCAAAGTTTAACAGGTACCTAGAAACACAGAGAAAGCAGGCCCTTATGTACAAATTCATTCACTCAAGGAATCCTTTTTCCTCAAAGAACTTTCATACTAGTGCAGTTGTAAAGAGCTACTGTAATTGTCCTGAAATAAGCTGTAGTCACCTAACAATGGGATAACTGCATCAACATAGAACTCTTACAGAGGCTTTTGTGGTGTAAGTGTGAGAACAGGTCAGCTACAGTCTCACAGAAAATGGGTTTAGAGTGGCATATGAGAAGCTGTCTCCTCTGCCTTAATGCACTGCTTGAAATGCTCAGTTGTCCTGTATTACAGTGAGTTTTCAGCAGCTAATCAGAACCAGCTTAACCATCTTTACTGGAGGGTCAGAGCTGCAATGGAAATAAACATACAAAACTTGATACATTTGAGAGGTGGCCAATGCCAACCTCTCAACCAAGCCAAGTGCAAGGTCTTACACCTGGGTTGGGGCAATCCCAGGCACAGCTACAGGCTGGGCAGAGAAGAGATTCAGAGCAGCCTCAGGAGAAGGACTTGGGGGTGTTGGTTGGTGAGAAACTGAACATGAGCCACTTCAGTGTGTGCTTGAGCCCAGAAACCCCCCTGTGTGCTGGGCTGCATCAAAAGCAGCGTGAGCAGCAGGTCAAGGGAGGTGATCCTGCCCCTCTGCTCTGCTCTCGTGAGACACCTCACACTGGACCAGCTTGCTCAGAAAACCAGACCCATCGTTATGACGTGTTCCTTCAGGTTTCTTTCTCTCATTGTGCTGAACACTGAATAGCAACAACTCGGTCACTTACTTGAGAACATTTTGGACAAGAATTCCTGCCACAACGCCCATCGTTGTAGGGAGACTCGCTGCACAAACTCCTTCTCGTTTGAGTGTTTTCTCATCGATATTTGCAGCAACTACGAGTGGAGGAGCACACTGAGGGCAAAGAAAGAAAGTGTTAACAGAAGAGAAGGCTGTGTGGAGACCTCATAGCAGCCTTCCAGTATCTGAAGGGGATCTCTAGGGATGCTGGGGATGGACTCTTCATTAGGGACTGTAGTGATAGGACAAGGGGTAATGGGTTCAAACTTAAACAGGCGAAGTTTAGATTGGCTATAAGGAGGAAATTCTTTCCTGTTAGGGTGGTGAGGCACTGGAATAGGTTGTCCAGGGAGGCTGTGAATGCTTAATCCCTGGCAGTATTCAAGGCCCGGTTGGATGAGGCCTTGGGTGATATGGTTTAGAGCGAGGTGTCCCTGCCCATGGCAGGGGGATTGGAACTTGATGATCTTAAGGTCCTTTCCAACCCTAACTATTCTAAGTATTAACCCCCCCCCGCCTTAAGAGCCAAACAAGCAATTCAGCAGAGCAATGCGTACCGCGAAACAGGCGGATTCCCCAGGTATGATCAGCTGGATGTGTCCTGACACTGCATTTTCACTCACTCCAGATTCCATCCAGATTTGTCCAAGTTCATTGCAGGCCTTAAAAAACACAGAAATGCCAAAACAGAACCACACACAGTGTAAACTGAGAGGGGTTAAAAACATGGATCTTCCTGCTTTAAGACAAAAAGGCTATAATCAGAAAAAAAGTAGAACAGAAATCACTCGTCTGAGTCAAAGGACAACTTAAAGATGTCCTGAGGATGCACATGTCCTTCCTATGGCCATGTATATCCTTTGTGCTTTCCTACGGACCTGGCATTTTTGAACAACTACAGGCATTAGTGATCCAGTTACCAGCACACTACAGAGTCTCATTGCACAAACTACTATTATACAGTGTATCTGTGGACCTTCAGTGCACGCAGTTTATGGATCATGTTAGCCAAAGGATAACAGAAAACATGCACTTGGCATATACCCTACGTTGTCTGCTACTATAAACACAATCTGACTAGGTACACAGCCTCAAGGCACTTTATATGCAAGTATAAAAGAAGTCACATGAAGTATACAATGAGCTATACACAGTCTAAGGAGTTTGAACGCTTTAACATCCCAGGCTTTGATCATACCTTTATATAAACAGAGCAATTTGGAAAGATGGTGAGGGCTTACAACACATAACTTTTGCTAACCATTAGCTGCTAGAAACTTGAGTAAGGATCACAGAATCCCAAGGGCTGGAAGGGACCTCAAGAGATCATTTGGTCCAACCCCCCTGCAAGAGCAGGGTAACCTAGAGTACATCACACAGGAACTTGTCCAGGCAGGCCTTGAAGGTCTACAGTTATATTTATGCACGTGTTTTATAAGAATGGGGTGAAAGCTCAGATTCTGCTTCCTTAAACCCAGGAGGAAACTTCTTAGAACATTTTGGTAAGTCCCTGTCTTTTCTCTAGTCCCCACACTTCTTAACATTACTTATAGGAGAAAACAGACTTCCACAAGCTCATGCCCTCGATGCCCTTACCGTGTTAATCGCCATGCGAGCTTCGAAGTTGTCCACACAGCTCAGAACAAGATCCACAGGCTTCCCCTCCTCTAGGGCCCCGTTACTGAAATAAGCACCAGAAGTTTGTGTGAAATTGCTGGCAGAACAAAATGCCAGTGTGGCAATCCACACGGCTGCTTTGGAGCACTGGGAAGTGAGTACCTAACAAAACCTGTGCAAATAGTATGTACTCAAAGCACATACAAGGCCAGGTTGGACAGAGCCTTGGGTGACATGGTCTAGCGCGAGGTGTCCCTGCCCATGGCAGGGTGTTGGAACTGGATGATCTTAAGGTGCTCTCCAACCCAAACCATTCTGTGATTCTGAGATAAGGCCAACTACAAAGAAAAGGTCTAGGTAGGAATGTCTCCACATATATATGTATTTCCCACTGGTTTTCAATTGGAAGCCATTACATCAAACCCCCCACCCCATAAAGTCAGGCCTAACACAAGGAACCACAAATCAGCAGAAGTTATCAAGATGCTTTCGTTGAGAGATTTTACCTTATTCTATCCATGAAGTGTTCAAAGTTGTCCAGGGTTGTGATGTTGTAGTTATGTACTTCAAACTGAACATCAGGATTAATATTCCTTATGGAGGAAATAATATGAGCCAATATCAGTAAATATGATAACTTGCATTCTACCCCCTAACTTCACAAGTGTTCCCACAGTGTTAAGCTTCCAGTCTGACATTTAGAATATCAGTATCAGTAATTCACAGATTAGGAAAACCCCACAACACTGAAGTGGCATAGTTTATACCAAACTTCTGAGCAGAATTAGCCATACTTAAAAAGACTCACATTAAGGTTTTGGTCAGTATAAAAATGTCCATAAAGTACCAACCATTCCCACAACTATTACATACTCACATTTCCAAATGAGATCAGGCTACTTTGCAAGTGATTAAGAGTGAAACATCAGTCTTCTGGAGCAGTACCCCGGGTAAATACATTTTGATACCCACTTCTCTAAGTCATACCTCAAAGTATGCTCTGCTGCTTGCACTTTACTTAATCCAGCTTGATGAGGTTGGAAGAAGAGTCTGTTCATGTTTGCCAGTTCCACTTTGTCATAATCAAACAGAAGCAGCTACAACAGAGATTGGAGATTCACTTATGATAACACAAAGACTATGCAAGCAGAGCATTACGGCAAGGCATTTTATACAACAGAACTCACTCTAAAACCAACAACAAAACCATCCACAACCAAAAAACCCCCACTTCCACAGTCCCATTCAGTTCACATATAAACGCTTTTAAGATTGTATGTGAAAGACTGAATTCTAAGTACTATTCAACAGGAACTGACCAAGTCATGAAAATCACCTTTAAAAAGCAATCTGTTCATTTGATCTAAACTAGGAATATTCAACAGATTATCTACATGAACACGATCATCTCTGTTACCACATTCCTACTTGCTGTTATGGCATTAACTAGGAATACACCGTTTCTTTCACTTGTCCTGGCAGGTAGTTCTTCAAAAGCAGTTCACTTAAAATACCTACATCATACACAGACATGTTGATTATTATAAACTCTGAATCAACTGTCCAATGTCCTTTTCTGTGCCCAAGATGCTGGCCTTCAGGAAATGCTCCTTCACAGGAAGGGGGAATAAACTTTGCAATCAAAAATTGCACCACCTCCTTATTAAGAAACTTCTTGAAGTTCTAAGAGTATATGGTCAGGATTTGCCTGGAAGTACAAACATCTAACCCATTTCCCAGATTCCTTCTTTAAGGAAAAAGCCTGTTCTTTAACTCTGCAGGTTCTTGATACACACATCAAATTACTTTGAATTGCTGCTAAATTTTTAGCTCCAAGTGCCACATGACAAACCAATATATGTGACAAAAATACCAGTTCTACGTCTACCACATTTCAACTTGAGGTCTATCAAATTGCTCTCATAAGACTTTAACATCTATGTCAGTTACCCCCTCCTTTATTTTGTTTTCCTTCTGCAATAATCCATTACAAAGTTTACATAGATGGGCTGATACAGAATCACAGAATGGTCTGGGTTGAAAAAGACCTTAAGATCATTCAGTTCCAACCCCCTGCCATGGGTAGGGACATCTTCCATTAGACATGGTTGCTCAAAGCCACATCCAACCTGGCCTTGAACACTGCCAGGGACGGAGCAAACACACTGGAATATAAGAGCAGGAAGACAAGCATCCAAACAAAAATCATTCCCATGATTGAGGATTAAGCCCTAAGTAAAACCAGACTGTATTTGTGATGTTTACACAAGTGCTGCTCTTGAGTGCTTTCTTTACTACTCTTTTATTGTGTGAAATCAACTGAGTGAAATCAAATCTAGTTCTTTATGAAGACAACTGGTCCATCTACTGTAAAGAAGCAGAGGAAGAAAGCTCTCATTACCTTACCAATGCCACACCGTGTCAGCATTTCAGCAGTCACGCTGCCAACTCCACCTACACCTATGACTGCGACCGTAAAGGTACGGATTTTCTGCAGAAAGAAACCAAAAGCACATCAGTTCCTCAGAACTGGTCCTCAAAGGGGGGAAAATGCAAGGCTGTTTCAATGCAGACAGAATCCTACCTCATAGTCTTTGACAATTCCCATTCTTTTTAATGCCATCAAGCGACTACGAAGAAAAAACAGTAACATTATGTAGACAATGCTCTCTACAGTACTATAAGCAATTTTGCTTTTCACTTACTTAAAATCTTTTTGTTTAAAGACAACCCCACCAAGCACCAAACTCAAGCCTGCTGTTTTCACTGTAGTTGTGATTGACAGCTAGATATAGGCTAAATAAGATAGTAGATGCTTTCCTATTACTCCTTCAACAGAGTACTCAGCCTGCAGAAACTCCAGTACATACTCAGCTGGTATGAGTAGCATCACTGAACTCCATAGCTATCTTTGTAAATGAATCCCTGATTTTCACACTGAAACTCGACACATTTTTCTGCAATGAACCACACAGCAGCAGCCCAGTGAAGACTCTTCTTCTTTCTGATCAATTTAATTAGATTAACTCCAGCATCACATTAAAGGAAAATAAACTAAAAGCCAGAGGTTATGAGGATAACTGGAAGAATGTTGAAGCAATCTTTTGTCCTGCTATTGCACTTTTTCACTGAAAGTATCAAAGGAAGTACAAGACTCAACTTGTATTAAAGCAATTAATCCTGGAAAAAATAATGCATCAGAATTCCAGAAGCGCTGAGCATTAGAAGAGGTTGCAGATGCTCAAGACTTCTCAAATCCAAACTCTAAAATAGTTAAGTTAGAGGAATAAGACCTCATGCAATACCGACATCTGTCCTGTTTAGTACCACCTTAGCTGAAAAACCCATTTTTCTCTCACTCCCCCTCTTAAATGTAAGAGGTTCTCTTGCCACAGGGCATGTGACTTCACAGAACTGTCTGACCAGTCATAGAATGGTTTGAGTTGGAAAAGACCTTTAAGATCACCTCTTTCCAACCCCCTGCCATGGTAAGGGTTGTCCCAGACATAAGGACATGGAGCTGCTGGAGCAAGTCCAGAGGAGGCCATGAGGATGCTCAGGGGCTGGAGGACCTCCTGTATGGAGACAGGCTGAGAACACTGGGGCTGTTCAGCCTGGAGAAGAGAAGCTGCGTGGAGACCTCAGAGCAGCTTCCAGTGTCTGAAGGGGGCTACAAGGATGCTGGAGAGGGACTCTTCATCAGGGACTGTAGCGATAGGAGAAGGGGTGATGGGTTCAAACTGAAACAGGGGAAGTTCAGGTTAGATCTAAGGCAGAAGCTCTTCCCTGTGAGGGTGCTGAGGCGCTGGCACAGGGTGCCCAGAGAAGCTGTGGCTGCCCCATCCCTGGCAGTGTTCAAGGCCAGGTTGGTCACAGGGGCTTGGAGCAACCTGGTCTGGTGTGAGGTGGCTGTGGCCCCAGTGCATGACCCTCAGACCCCCGCCCGCCCGGGCCCACCTCCACACGCCCCTTCCCGAGCCCCACGGCCTCAGACCCCGCACCCCTCCCTCCTCCCCACGCCTCAGTCCGGGCCCCCCCCCCCCATAGCCCGACCCCGCGGGTGCAGCCCCTCGCCCCCGGCCGCACCTGTAGGGGTTGGTGTCCGTCACCTCCGGGCTCATGGTCTCGATGCGGGCCCGCGGCGCCGGCCGCCCACCCCTCTCCCGGGCCAGCTCGTCCTCCAGCTCCCGCACCCGCCGCTCCAGCCGCTCCAGCCGGCCCGGCTCCGCCATGGCAGCGACACGTCTGCCCGGCGGGGTGACGGAGCTTCCGGGAGCGGCAGCGAGCGCCGTCCCCCGCCACGCCGGCGCCTCAGAAGAGTTCCCGCCTCGAGAGGGGCTCTTGCCACCTCACAGAGGGCAGCGAGGGGCTGCGGCCATGGCGGAGGGCAGGTGCGTCCTTCGGGGAGCCGTGGTCTTCCGAGAAGAAGCCGTTCGTATCCGGGAGCCGGTCTTGTACTTGTGCCACAACAGCCCCATGAACTGCTCCAGGGCTGGGGTAGAGCGGCTGGAAACTGCTCATGGAAAAGGCCCTGGGGGTGCTGACTGATGGAGCTGGACATGAGCCGCTTGTGCCCAGGCAGCCAAGAAGCCCCCAGCATCCTGGCCTGGATCAGCACCAGTGCGGCAGCAGGGCCAGGGCAGGGATTGTGCCCCTGTGCTGGGCACTGGTGAGGCTGCACCTCAAATCCTGTGTTCAGTTCTGGGCCCCTCACTGCAAGAGAGACATTGAGGGGCTGGAGCGGGGCCAGAGAAGGGCAATGGAGCTGGTGCAGGGCCTGGAGCACAAGTGTGATGGGGAACGGCTGAGGGACCTGGGGGGTTCAGTCTGGAGAAGAGAAGGCTCAGGGGGGACCTGATGGCTCCCTACAAGTGCCTGACAGGAGGTTGGAGTGAGGTGGGGTCGGTCTCTGCTCCCAAGGAACAAGGGACAGGACAAGAGGAAACGGCCTCAAGCTGCACCAGGGCAGGTTTAGATGGAGCTGAGGAACAATTCCTTCCCCAGAGGGTGCTCAGGCATTGGAACAGGCTGCCCAGGGCAGGGCTGCAGTCACCGTCCCTGCAAGTGTTCACACAGCGTGGAGACGAGGCCTCAGTGCCATGGGTTAGTGGTGGCCTTGGCAGTGCTGGGAGCGGTTGGACTGGGTGAGCTTGAAGGGCTTTTCCAAAGCGGTTGTTTCCATGACCCCATGACTCGATTTGCTCCTCGCCGCCCCTCGCCGGGGACCGCTTTCCTGTCGGACCGAGCCGCCTCCCGTTGCCGGGGCGATGCCAGGCCGGGCCGGGCGGGGCGCAGCGGCGCGGTGGGCAGGCACAGACCGTACGGGGGCGGTGTAGGGGGAGAATGGCGGCGGAGCCGGGTACGGTTGAGGTGCGGCAGCAGCACCGCTTCGACCAGCGGGGCTTGGAGCGGTACCTGTGCAGCCACCTGCCCGGCTTCCCTCGGCAGCCAGCGGGGGCGCTCGCTGTCAGGCAGTACAGGTAACCGGTGGGCTGCTCCGCCTGTGCGGGGCGAGCGGCGGCCTCCCTGGCTGCTGACACGGGCCCTCGTCCTTGGGGCGCCATGCGGCGCGGAGCAGAGCGTAGGCCCGAAGCGTATGCTGCGGGGCGCCCTGAGGCGCTGAGGCGTTGCCCGCTGCCCGGCAGGAAAGGTGGGCAGGGTTCAGGCCCTTTGCGCTGGGGACAGCAGGCAGCGGCCATCGAGGTAAAAGGGCTTCCCTGGGGCAGCGGGAGAATGGTCAAAGTTCACATTGGCGGCAAAGGGGATCTATAGCTCAGCAGGTGGCAGTCTGCAGGCAGGAGATGGGAATGTTGGGATAGGACAAGGGGAATGGCTTTAACCTGCCGGACGGGAGACTGAGATGAGCTCTCAGGCAGAAGCTCTTCCCTGTGAGGGTGCTGAGGCGCTGGCACAGGGTGCCCAGAGAAGCTGTGGCTGCCCCATCCCTGGCAGTGCTCAAGGCCACGTTGGACACAGGGGCTTGGAGCAACCTGGTCTGGTGTGAGGTGTCCCTGGCTGTGACAGCGGGTTGGAACTGGATGAGCTTTAAGGTCCCTTCCAACCCAAACTAGTCTGGGATTCTGATGATTCTATGTGTTGGGTGGACTTGCCACTGTCCTCAGAAAAGCATGTATGTAGCCCTTTATGGTGCACTCTGCTGCAGTATACACACAGTTGTTTTATTGCCTGCTTATAAATCTCACTTTATGTGATTAATCTTTAATTGAACAGCAAATAATAATGTTCAGAAGCACATACATGGCTTAAGAAACCAGTTTTAAAAGCCTTCAGTTAAGGCCAGGTAAGCAAATCCACAAAAAGAGCCTAACGATATTCTGAGATGCCCATTAATGCCTGCAGGGCAAAGCAAGGTGCTACCCCCAGGCTCTAGAGCTGCTGTTGCAGGGAACACCTAGCTCATTTGTGCTCAGCAGATCAATGGTGTGACTTCAGATCAGGAGCAATTAGATGTTACATTATTGCAAAAGTATTAATTGCTTTGTAGACATGACTTCAGGTGCTTCACCTGCAGCTCTCACTAAGAACCAGTAAACAAGTTTTCATTGTCTTCTGATGCAAATATAGATCATCTGTTGTATCCTCAGCTACTTTAATCCTGCAATTGAGGAAGCTTTAGGAGGGGCCTCAGGAGTAGCTGTTAGTAAAATCTGCTAAAATACTGTCAGTATTTATACTTTTACTACTTTCTTTGTCTTGTGGTTGCAATTTGAAGCTTCAACTGATTTAAACCTCTTTTGTGTTTGTCTCTGCAGTATACTTGTTAAACTGTTACAGATTATGCCCTGACTGCCTCAGGGAGAATGGAAGTATTGTGGGGAGCATGAGGGCAAAAGTTCACTTGATTTGGGTTTTCTGCTAGTTGTCTAATCTTTTACTGGACTAGGTCAGAATGTGTGTTAAAAATGATCTAGAAGGAGGAGAGGAAGGCAGGTGAGGATCAGTAAGCTTGATTAGGATATGATTGACAAAGTCTGGTGAAGGGTTTGACTAGGTTGTCCTTGTCTTTTGCACATGTATGTGATTGAAATGTGTACTTGCTACAATTCCTTGCCACTGTAACATTCTTTCTTTAAAATTCCACAGTTACTATAGGCAGTCCTTTAAGTGTAGCATAGGTATGTGATAATCAGGACAGCATACAGTGGGGTTTGGTACTAGAATCATCAGTTACTTGGAGAGCTTTCTCTGTGCTTACGTTGTTCAAAATACAGCTCTCCAAAGGACAAATACAGTTCTAGGGTAGTGTGAATTCTGCTTTCTTTGATTTCCTCCAAATCAGAAAGCTTTACAGTTAGTATCTACTGCCTACCCTGAAACATTAATGATGTCTCTTCAGGGAGGAGAGGTAAATGCCATCTCCGTTTCGCAGGAGACCAAATCGTGTGTCTGTGACCTCTCTGCAGTGAAAGAAGACATCTTCCTTATAGGCAGGAATAAAACCTCTGGCTTCTGAAATTGTAGGCTATTACTTGCATCCTTGTAAGACTATATGGGGGGGGGGTGAACCCAGATAAAACAAGCCAACATACAACTCTTGAGAAGAACCCTTTCCTCTGTCTGCCATTTTGTTCAGGCCAACCCACAGTGCATTTTGCATCATTTCTGTTGAAAATTTGCAAAATGGTAAGTACTTGAATTTGTAAGTAACTATAATCTTCCTCTTTGTAGCTCAGGTCAGTCAAATCCAACCTTTTATCTTCAGAAGGGTGAGAAGGCTTATGTGCTCAGGAAGAAGCCCCATGGCCCCCTGTTACCTAGAGCTCACAAGGTAAGGAACATACGTCGTCAAGCTCCAGACTCTTTGTATTGCTAAATCTGGTACACGATGGTGTGGCACATGGTTGAGTATGTCCAGAAACGCAGTGAATTGCTGGATCATTTGCAGTTCTCTGTGCTGTACTATACATGTCATCAAGGAGGATACGCTGTTGTTCACAGATTTGTGTTTGGGAGCTTTTCATTGAACCTAAATTTCTGTGTCTTCTTCAGGTTGATAGAGAATATCGTGTGCAGAAAGCCTTATTTTCAGCTGGATTTCCAGTGCCTGAACCGCTGTTGTATTGCAGTGATGTTTCTATCATTGGAACAGAGTTTTATGTAATGCAGCATGTGCAGGTTGGTCTTCTAACGTGAAGGATTTTTTTTCTTCTCCCTACTACAAGCTGCTTTTAAATTGTCTAAAACTCTTCCTGTTAGAGCCTTGTCCAGCATTTACTGCATTTTGTGCTATAAACATAAGCAATCCTCTGATATTTTAAGAAATGTTAGATACTGGAAATTCACACTGATTTCAGCTTCTTCAGGAGTTATTTCCCACTTTGTTGAAGTTTTTAGCTCAGTATGTAACGTCTTGGTCTCGTTTAGAGCTCTTGGAAAGATGTCTTGAAATGAGGCAATATTGCTTCTGTTCAAAGCACACACAAGGCAGAGTAAGAACAACCAAGGTATAAAGTTATACTGAACCTTGGGACATCGTGGGGCCTCTTTACTGCTGAAGACAGGAATCTACTTACAATCACCTTTTCTTGAAAACCAAGCAGGGTTCCAATTCAGGCCCTAAGAAGGAAGGAACATGGCATAACTCTGTGGTCTATCACTCGAGGGGTTCTGTGGCAGAGTTCATTCTGTTTCTGCTAGGTTTTGGTGATTCTGATTTGAAGTCTGCTGTATCATCACTTTGGTTTTTTATATACTGTGAGAGGAAGATTGGAACTCAGGCCTCTTCCCTTTTCACCGCATCCTTCTCTGTCATCTGGTTCACTGGGAAAATAGAAATACATTGAAGCCATCATGTGAACCAGTGAAACTAAGGAACTTCAGGCTGCTTTTTCTTTCCAGTCTGTTACTGGCATTGTTAAAGGAGAAAATGGGAGAACACGCTCATCTTCTAAACATGTTAAACTGCTCCCCCTTCCCTTAGGGTCTTCATTAATAGTTTTTTCTGGAATTTAGCTGTTAAGAGACAATTGCAAAACCTTTCATTCCCCCACACACACCCCTCAGTACTTTAGTTTGAGGATATCTGGATTGAATTCTCCAGTTCAGACTTTCATCTACTGAATATATCTGTTATTTTAATTGCCTTCCAATAGACGTACTAATGATCTGAGTTTACTATGAATCCCTTCATCTGTCCTGGGCAAGGAATAAAGCAAGTGAGGAAGGCATTTTTGATTGCATAGGGAGTGTTGCTTCACTGCATTTGGTTTTGCTCCTGAAATGTAGAGCTTTAACTTCTCTTTGTGTGATGTGTACATCCCACCA